GTTCCATATAAAGACAATTGCCCTTTGCGTCTAGCGGAATTACATTCCAAGCAACTGAGACATACTTCCGCGAGTGCATAGAGATGAGATACAACAACCAGTAAAAATGCTTGTCTATAGCATTATCGTAGATTACTTTATGCATCCTTCTAGAACAGTCACTCAACTCACTCGCTCCCTTGCTTTCTCGAACTGATCCTTCCCGCCCAGCATCCCAACCTCTTCATTTCGTCTAATCACAACAACCCAAGGCCATAGTAGCAAGTGCTATGGGATGGCCTTGGAGAACGGACTCTTTCCGCTCTGATGAAAACAGCATCTTTGCCAGGGCTGGGGAGGCGACCAAGTTGCAGACCTTGGCTGCATCACCGCATCTGCATTTACATCTGCATCTGCCTTGCATACGTACAGTACAGTACCGTAATTATTACATGCCTCTGTCTGTTTTTCTTCACCGCAACGTTGACGCAAGAACTGCTCGAGTTCCGTGGAGAACCGCCGGTTGATGAGTAAGGCATTAGAATATCACAGAACTACGTCTTGTTCCGGGATCGTACATGGAGAGCGGATCAACAATGACCTCCTAGTCACCTCGGAGTCGGCCTTCTCCGGCGAATAGACTAGAGCCCGATGTAAACTGCGCTGATCAGATCGCAGATCTTTTTTTAATCTCATGGGTCTCATGTCACTTCCCTGCTTTAATGTTGACGGAGTATCGTGCTGTTGCATCTCTAGTCCAACAAGACAATATTCCCACGGTCTTTTGTAGTAAACTCCGTACGTGTTTTCGACACAATACAACGTCTTCGGCAGCGACTTGTTGCGATGGGCATTGCGGAAACAACCAAACTTCAACTGGGCGACAAAAGCTATCTGGCGTATTATGAAGCCATCCAATATGAGATACACATAGAGTCATCTGGGCTATATCTCTTACCGGCCGCGGCTATAAAATAATAGACTTCAGACCACATAACATAATATCAATCAGGACGTTTAAATGATGTAGTAGTAGCAGCCTAAGACGCTACTCAGAGTCGTTGCGAGTTATGCCTATGGTAACTGCATATGTGTAAGTCCAATATGAACCTTGGGAACCGCGCGGTTTAAGTGATGTTGAGCTTAAGCACAGGATTTTACTATCAATTGAAGTACTTAAGTTTATTACTGGCTATTTTTTTCTTACTGGTAGCTACTGTATTTACATTTATATCTCAGCATACGTGATAAAATTGTCAGTGTCTGTTTCCGTCCCAAAGCATTAGAACTTGTGTCTCAACTGGAGTCAAAACACTTATCGATATCTTCCCCAGTCACCAATAACACAGTCTGAATAGCGATATATTGTTTCTGAAAGACTGCATATACATGCTCAATCTTCTAACTTATAAACCTCATGCTAATGCAGACACGGAACGCACCCAAACTAACGGGCAGCATTCCGCTCAACTGATAGAGAATCTCACCAATTCTGGTGATTATTCATTTAGTAATAGTTAGCTTAATTTAAGAAATCCATGTCATCGTTCTTCTCGCAGGCATAGAAGTACGCATCTCCTTCATATCCAGCACATAACAAGTAAGGTTGAAAAGCTTACAAACTATCCGTCACAAGGGGATGATACGATGGCGAAGATGTGGTTTCCGGTCCAAGCGGTCCCATGCTATTTACCATTGTTACTAGAGTTTTCAATAAGAATCATACGCCTCCGACATTCCCTACTACAAGTCACTCAGCTCGCAAGTCATGAAGCAATACATACTTCATATCAGCCTACTTCTAAACACGTTTCAACACTCTTTACAGCATATAGTGTCGGAATTTATTAGTAGATATGGCCTCCGTTAATGGCGAAAGTGTTTGAACAACACTGGTTTTGATCAGACCCAATGCCTAGTCACGTTTCCAATGCCAAGTCCCAAAACTTAATATAACCCACGTTCGACACTGCATTATGAAGATCATCGCATAGATATTGAAGATTGAGGCCCGAGCGACGTATCACGAGTACACAGGTTAACTTTGTAAGGTGAAGATGTACCATTGCTCATGAGTGAGTATAAAAAAGTAGTTGATGACAGCATAAGGTTCTCACCCCCGTGTCATGATATGACATGAAGCAATTTAAGGCAAAAACAACAGCGATCTACTGCCAGTTTCATGGATGTTCCACGGGTTTGGTAGAATAAATAGTTTAGTATATCATACTTTGTATAGGGTTCACGTCCCTGAGACCGCTTAGAAAGATGTGTATGGGCAGAGCGATGATGGCCTCTAGGTTAAGTACCCGCGAGACCGAACCATTGGAAGTACGAATAAAGCCACCGCGTTCTCATTGTATTACGTACATGGTTGCTACAGTCCTGGATAAGTATTGTTCAAGCTGCTGCTGATTTTGTTTTTGAAGATTAGTAGTGTACTATTATATATATTTATTCCACACATGCTATGGGATGACTTAGTGTCTTGTCTCGTTGGCTAAGTAGACTGAAACATACACCGAGTTTACTGCAGTTATCTGCACAGGCGGGATTCTTAAAATATGTGTTTGAATGTTATTACCGAAAGTATACGAACTTCCTCTTCATCTCCATATGTCATGGCCATTTACCCCCTACGCATCGGCATTTCGACTTCAAGGCCATAGCTCAGTCTTCTCCCATGAACCATTAGTCAACTTGTAATTCCATCTTTTACCATCAGCCGGGTCGGACAGGTCCACCTGATCAACCTCGTCCGGGATGATAACAGCAACGCGGAAGTTGCTCCTTGCAATCCCATCATCCAGGTCCTCCACCTTTTGTCCAAGCCCAAGTCCAGCCTCGGGTTTCTCGTCCCGCTTCGTTCCAGGAGGAGGATTGCGAAAGGACCCTCGCATGCCGGGGCTCAAGTTTCCAAAGTGCGCCGTGATCTCTTTGCCCCAGTTCCATGGGCTCGAACCGTCATCACTCTTTTTCCGCATGTACTTCTCTATCTCTTCCCTGACATGTGATGTTGATGGGTCGTCAATGTCTTGGCCAAGAAGATAGGCACGGCCGCGTATGCGCCACTGAGTTTGTGTCTCGGTGACCCAAAAGACAGCCTCAACAGGTCCTCCACCACCAGTCTGCGGAACGTGCTTCCCATCGGTTGACAGCTCGGGAACCTTCTCCATGCGGGCGTCAGTGGTGATGGTCAGAAGGTCGCTCTCGTAGAGGGGAGGGTTTAGTGGTGCCTGGTTCTTTGGGTTGACTGGTATCTCTGCCCAAGTACCTCTGTACACGACAGTGCGGGAACGAGGAGTGATAGAAGAGGAATCATGATGATGAAGAGTGCTGAGCACAAAGGTGGGTGAGTCCATCTTCTTGATGTGAGATAGAAAAGTCGACCGCCATGGTGCGGCTGAAGCAGGCTGCGAGGCGGACATGGTGTATTGGAGGTGCTTCGAAATCTGTTTCGTTCGCTGAATCGAACAAGTGACTGGTCTCATGGGCGAGTATTTGGAGTTTTCTTTGAACACTTTGTTACTTGTATGTATGTATTGTTACGAATGAGATGCCGTTGAAGCGAGGTCGTTGAACCCCACTTCGATATTTAGCATCATAGGTCGATGATCGTGACATTCTTCGATGAGTCATGACAACAGCATTTAAACCAGAAAAGACAAAGTGAACATGTATTTTTCATGAAACAGACGCGGACAAGTTATCATGTTTCTACAGTGTGACTGAGGATATAACGAGGATATAGCAAGGTTCAACAGTGGTACGTATCACCAAAGACTTCAAGTCCGTGAGTCCTGAGTCGATCATGCATGATCCACTCACATATCCAGAGCATTTCCGTTTAGACATGGTATTTTTATCGATTTTCATATCCGTTGTATCACCATTAGATCTTCATAGTGTTGAGCTTGATTTGAAGACGTCTATCGTAAAATGGCTTGTTAGTCACAGGGTAGGCTGTTAGTCAGAGCAGTAAAGCTGAGGGTCACTAATGACTCTGTTAGCCTTGCTTGACTTCGCCTAATTCGAGTCCCAGCGTCGTATGACTAAATGGTCCCTCTTGGCCCTCGGGTCTAAATTAGCACTCCAAAGATTTATGGGTTACTATGTAAGGCAGAGATTCAGTCCATCAGGTCGGGCTTTGGGCACTGATGTAGAGAGGGATATCTCAAGATTCCAAATGTAAGATTACCATCTATTCAGAACTGGCAACGGTTACTTGGCCTGTTGTCTTCAATTACAGAAACACATATCGCGTACGTCATGAACTGTACGCAGATTGGTCAAGGAAGTTCTCTCTCAAAGTTCTAGACCGCCCGGGGTCCGGGGCTCATCAGAGACACTAACTTGTAAGCGGCGCCCGCGGCAGGGCGACGGCAATACCAATGGAAGTTGGCGTCGGAAACAGGGGGTATCGGCACTATTGCATGTAAAGTAGGCAACTCAGTTCCGACTACGAATTGCCATTGTTGCAATCGTAATGTAATGTAAGGAAGGACATGAGTTTGAGTGAGATGGAGAAGATAGGATCGGCCAAGAAATAGCGCTTCACTATTTTCATCTCGTATTTCCACCACTACTGTTTCGCATTTAGTGGCAGGAAGAAGCGAGGCCAGTCAAGTCAGTGAAGTACCTCGGCGGTCTCCGACAAATAATGAGAGATCGACAAACCCTTCTCTCGTTTCTTCTCGAAGCTTGCCCACTACGTAAGTGATGTACAGTAGCGCAACCGCTAACTGCCGTGATGTTCTTGGGTATGGGCAAGACGTCATGAACCTTTGAGGGCCAAGAACTGATTTAGAGTTGGCGAGGAAATTCCATGGAACACGGAACTGAACAAAACGAAGCCAACGAAGAACCGTTCACATGTTCCATTTCCAGGGGCGCCATGGATATTGAGTTAAGGGACTGGTGCTGCCCCGTGGGTTCTGGTAGGTCAGTATTGGCGGAGAAAGATGGAGATAGTTGTCTCAGGCACGGAGATCAACATAGGACTTGTCGGAGCGACGTAGTACTCAAGGCGGTCGAGCAGAAGACTTGGCTTTGGCCCGATACCACTGGCGCCCGACTTTACCAGGGTGTCGGGCTGTTAGGATCGTGTTGTCTTGCTTTTGTGACGATCGCATCCCCGATATGTACCTTGACAATAGTTCAACTTTATCGTGGGTTGTAAACTGGAGCCCTGTCTTGTCCTGCCTATCCTATCATGTCCTGTCCTGTAACCTGTAACAGCCAACGTCAGCTTTAATATGCTAGCTGATCCACGGGAACATCGCGTGTGCCCAACGGCCCATTTCTGAATCAACCTTTCAACGTTGTCCGTATAATAGTGAATCAAAAAGCATTTTTGTTATTACCCTTTCTTATTCCGGGGCTGTTCCGGCGGCGCTGATTGCTTCAAGTCCCGTCTTGCCTGAATCCTGTCTTTCTGCCCGCGGTAAGACATGTTAAAAGAGCTTATCTGTCTCATCGTGAAATGATTCGATTCACTTTCTGCGAGCCAAAGTTGACGAGGCGTTCAGCCCGGTGGGGTCGATCATGCCGTGACGATTTGGTTGCGGCGATTGCTTTCCACCTGGCAGAATAGACCCTGGCTACCTGGGCCTGGGCCTCAATGAGATTGCGTGTTTTTGCACCCCGGGTTTCTGAGAATCCAATGATGACATGATCGAACTTCTCAACCGAGGGCTGGAAGAAATTATTTGGACATTTGAGTGGAGACGGTGATATGGATCTGCACAGCTTTTATGTCAAAGCCCGAGGACCACACCGAGTACTAGTAAACGAAGCCGGCACTTGTCGACGAGACCATCAAAAACGGACTTCACGATCGACCCGTGCACTTTCTAGTTCTGCGTAGTCACGGAGCATCTCTTTGAAGGGATACCCGGCCGAGTCTAGTTGGAGAAAAGGAGGTTGATACTGAGCACTAGTGAGAGGACTCGCTTGGAGGGCGGGATAGAAGTCTCTTGTTTCGAAGCGAGGTGGGAGACCCGGGGACGTGGGAGAGGCTATGGGAATATCGTGAGAGAGTTGGTCGGTCTAACATTACCCCTTTGTATCGAGTAATGTAGTCTAACACGTACATAGTAAGTTTACCACGGTAGATGGCCACAGACAACCTAGTTAGTGTGCCTGGGGGGTATTCGGCAGATTGCCATTGATATTAGTACAGAGCCACTGACATTAATCAGAATATTGGGCGTCAACAGTCCTGGCTGCCTGTAAATTCCTCTCGATAATGAATCAAGGGTCGGAAACCTTTGCAGCCAATGTTCGTTTTGTCTCTGAGTTAAGACTCTTGCCATTGTGTTGAGTTAGCCTCAATCGTCGTCAGACTTATGTAACAAGATAGTGAGACAAGGATGAAGGATATGAATCAGAATTAAGCCAGTGCAAGGACCAGAAACGTTGAATGTTGGAACGATACTCTGAGTAAGAAGTGCTTGAGTCGTGGCCTGGTATGGCATGGATACTTCTAGACGAAAAGTTTCATCCAACGGGTGTACGCGAGGAGATACATGTAGGTGCACCTCCTAAAGAAAATCAGCCGCGATCTCTGGGAAGGATGGTGGATAGGGTAGTGGATGGTGGATGGTTGGAAAAATTCCCTTCCCCTCGGACAGGTACCAAAAGTCCAAGGTTAAAAAAGAAAAGAAGAAAAAAAAAAAACCACGCGCCAGCGGGCGCAGAATCGGTCACCAACGCTTATGACTGCCGTTAGAGGCATGGTAAGTTTAGGGGTCTAGGGAAGGTACAGTGCCGTAGGTACGCACTTTGCTAGGTTGCTGCTACTTCAGGTCAGGTTTGTTCCCTCATTTTCATTTCCATCCATTCCCACTCCCATCTGTCCAGTGTTTGCTCCGCCCCCGCCTTTTTTTCCATCACCCCCATCCCGTCTCTTATTTGACTCTTTTCTCGCCTTGTTCCCATTCTGTAATTCCCTTTTCTTTTCCGGGATCTTTTTCTTTTTTTTCTTTCAATTTGGTCCTTATTTCCTGCTGTACTGCCTTGTCAGTCTGCATTCCATTCCAGTCAGTCTGTCTCGAGTGCTACATGCTGTTGCTCTCAAGCTGTCACTACTACTATAACTTTCATCCGTCAGCGTCACGTCATTGTCTCAACCGTCGCTGTTCAACGCTCGCTACTACCAGAACTTACTGCGCAGTTGTATGGTAATGCTTTTAAATACCCTAACGAACTCTCCGCCATTCGCCGTACCCCAGCTACCACCACCACTGCCGCTTCCGCAACCTCCGCCGCGGCTCACCATATCCGGCCGTTATTTCCAGCGCCTACTGCCAACAGCCGAATTCCGACGACATAAAATCACACCCATAGCGGTTTAAATCAGCTCATCCCAGTCTTTATTCCCGGAACCGCCCTCACAGCCAAAACCTAATCTCCAGAGCTCTGACAGCTACAGCTACAGCTACAGCTCTAGCTCTTGTCTAGCTCCAGGGTCCCAATCCAACTTCTTTTTGGCCCAGCCATATCTCGGATCTCAGCCCCAGTTTCAACAGATCCAACTCTCTTTGCAACGTCCAATTGGCATCCTCGTAATATACTCAAAAAAACGCGTTTCTTTACTGGACCAAGTCTTTGAGCTTTAGCCATCAATGGATCTTTCGCAACGGGCGCTTCCGCGTCACACTCACCATCAACCGCCGCCGCCGCTTGCAAATCCATCGCCTTCTCATCTTCCAGCGCAACATTCTACATATAGTCCTGGCAGCGTCGCTTCACATCCTACCCTTCCTCTACCAGGCACACACCCGCCGCCCTCAACCCTGACACCAGCTTCGGCCTCAACATCTCCAGCTTCTGTTTCTCATCGGCTGCCATCCGGGCCAGCTTCAAATGCCTCAAGACACCCTGCTGGCGACTATCCCCCAGATGCAGAGGATCATGACGCGTCGACGACCCCCGTCGATGGCGAGGAACCTCCAAAGAAGAAGCAAAAGCGCAACAAGCCAACTCTATCATGCCATGAATGCGTCGAGCGCAAGACCAAGGTATGGCCTTTTTATGTTACGCAATTCCTCAGGCCACATCTTTTCCATCTCCAGCCATTCCTGTTCGCTTTGCCCCGTGCGTAACTCAAGTAATGGGTTTGCGCATAGAATTCTCCCGTTCCTTATTACTTGCGCACATACCAGAATTTGGCCCTCTCTTCATAAAACCTACAGACGGAGTTGCTGACATTGCCCATAGTGCGACAGGGGTCGACCTCACTGCCTTGCTTGTAAGTAACTGTATACGTTCTGCACATGAGTTGTTGCTAACCTCGTACAGGTATAAAACGACAGACTGAATGCAGATATGCGCATGTTGCTAATCTACTCGAGTATGGAATCTCTTAATTATGTTGTCATTTGTTCTGCTTTAACAATCATATAGGGAGACCACACGGTCCGCAGCCAATGGCAGGCGAATGACGAAGCCACCCAAGAAGAAGTCGGGATCAAGCGGAAAGTCTCCTATCCCAAATATTGCGGATAGAGGCATGTCCAACGATCCCAGAGCAACCTCCCGGGGTGCCGTTGCACTCTCGATTGGCCTCCTATCTAATGTTCCATACTCTCTACCCTCTGCGAGTAACATCTTTGGCATTGGCTCTGAACACCCCTTCGCCAACTACTGGACCTGTGAAGGCGGCCTGTCGGAGGTAATTTCAGTTCTTCCCGACAAGATACAGGCCGACATTCTGCTCAGTCGCTACTTTGAGTGTGTTGACCCAGTGTATCCCATGATACATCGCCAAACATTCTACGCAGATTACGAGCACTTCTGGCAGATGAGTCAACAAGACAAGAGCGACACAGATCCTTCTTTTATAGCATTGATATTCGTCATGCTAGCACTGGGCACACAATTTGTGACGTCGACAACATCGTCCCAAGAGCGAAAGCAGACAGCCGAGTTCTATGCTTCTGCAAGTAACCAAGCCCTGCGTATTGCTTCATATCTTAGCAGCGCATCACTACGATCTATCCAGGCCATGGTCTTGATAGTGTACTTTCTCATCAACGACAACCATGCTTCCGATGGATGGGCCTTTGCCGGCATTCTAATCCGACAGGCTTATGCAATGGGCCTACATAGGGATCCAAATATCGGTATGCCACACTTTTTTCAACTTTGACCAGTTGTGTACTGACTTATGTATAGTAACACCGCATGCCACCTTGTTCGAGAAGCAGCAACGCCGAAAGGTCTGGCAGGCAGTACTGCTTCAAGATACGTTTCTAACTGTCTTGCTCTCCCTGCCGCCCTCTGCGACACATACGGATGTCTCTGTCGAAGACCTGCTGGATGATGGTTCGTCGATTGCAAATAGCGACCCTACGGATACAGCATATATCAGGGGCTCCTGGACTTTGGCCAATCTTGTGCAGGAGACGATCTGTTCACCACGATCACTGGATCTACCTATTTGCTCGACGGCAAGGCATAAGTCGAAGCTGATCGCCGACTTCCGGGCAGTCTATCGATCCTTTCCTGATGTTTTCCGTTCGTGGGACCCTGATAGCATCACAGCGCTTGCAAAAGCAAATAAAAGGGTAGTCCGCCAGACTCTGTTCTTGACGAGTAACTACTTTCACAACTTGATGCTGGTTCACGCTTCAGAGAGTCCTGATGTTCCTGTCAACGTTCGTGGGACACTGGAGGCGGCGCACGATGCCATCACTGCCTTCTTTCTTCTTTTCACTCTACTTGAAATAGAAGCACGTGTCTGGTGGGTTTTCAACCATCGAGCTTTCCTAGAAGCGCTGTGTATTGGCAATGTTCTCAAGGAAGCGACACGTGAGCCCGGTGGCACGGATATGATGGCAAGGGATCCTTTGCTTGTGAGGGCCAAGGCCGATATCAGTAAGTGCCCATGTTGTATCTCCATTCGCAGGCAATTATCTAACCTATTTACAGCACGCATGATTCAAATCATGCAGATTATGGGCAAAGATTCCGAAGTGGCCAGAACACGAGTTCAAGTTTTGAGCGACTTCCTGACCTAGAGTAGAGACAAGGGAGCAATACTATTTGTACAAACACTTTAAGTAATGATTGAACGAGACGGGTAGTGCAGTCCCAGAAAAGTTTTGGTGTTGCATATTAGTAGATGTTCAGCCACGGCGAACGGTAAACAGATCTAGATGGCGGTATCGTTCGATGTCTAAGCCGCGAGCGTCTTTCGCCGTTGAAGAGAAGATATAGAATTCGGCATATATAATTGATGAAAGCATCCTGGCTGGAAGTGCAAGTGTTGTGCTGTGAATTCGAAGGTTGCTTTCGATGTTTGAATTTCGTGTTGGGCATAATTGACCTGTAGATAATTGAGTCACCAGCGTCGAATCAGGAGAAAACCAAGATAATCCTGCATTATTTGAAAAGAGGTAACGAGTTATATTGAAAGTACCAAGTCTGGTTTGAATATTGCCAAGACAATACAGGAAATGGAATTGCCGAGGTCGTCAGGCCCCACTATAGACTCGTCCAGGGCTGAATGATGGACTCGTCAGCTCGGGAAAGGTGATTGGCCGAGTGACAGACTACGCATGGTGATTGCGCAGCCCGACCATTTCCAGGATAAGCTGAGCAGCCAAGCTAGACTCAGAAAGGGTTGCAGAATCGTTTCAGTGCCCGAACTACTGCTATGACAGGGCTCTTAGACGCTATTCCAATACGTTTTTGGGAGGCATCCGCGTGGCCTGGCATCCCACATCCCGTCTTATCCGCCTAGTCGCATGTGCTATTTTTTTTTTTTCGCTCTTCATTTCATTTCCTCGTAATGTCATCCCAATCTCTCGTATTGAACCCGTTCATTCTTAATTCCCTCACAAAACCTTTTTCCCTTTAAGCATCTATCCATTACCTCTTTCTCTTGTTTTTCGTATTCTTCTGCCTTAAGCTTCTTTCAAGTGAGCCCGGCTGCCTGGTACTCCTGGTCCGAATTTGACGTCACAGACCAACAACACCAACAACTCTTCTTTTCGATAATAATCTCGCGATGCGCGGCCTCACTCAGGCTGCCGCCGCGGTGCTGACACCTGCGTTGGTGTTAGCTCATGGACCTCACCATCCCCCACCTCCACCACCTCCTCCGCCTCATATGGGATTCCTACCTTCCGCTCTCGATGTAACACCTTCAGCTTTTGTCACAGTCAATGTCCCATGGAGCGATACTGAATCGTATCCTTTGACACTACGGTTTGATGTAGAGGAGTCAGACGAAGTCTGTGGTCCTGCCAGCATCAAGCTCAATGGCGAGTCCCTCGACCAGGATGCCAAGGGCCACGGCGTTGGATCATTCCTCGTCAACAATGAGACCACCATCTCAGCTGAATGGGATTTCGAGTGCATTGGCCCCAAGGAGTTCCCCTTCGGTCAATCAATGCGCTTCAACGTAAAGGCCCTCGACGACATGGCCGTCAATGACGAGTCTTCCTTCTGGATGACCTTCAAGCAAACCGCCCCTGTCCGAATCTCGGATGTTGGAAACGCTGCCTATGTATGGAGTCTGTCCGTCCCCTTCAGCAAGGAGAACAATACATCGACAGGCGGCAAGTCCACTACCGATAACCCACCCCCTATCTGGGAGAGCAACCACCGCGACTTCCAGGACCCTGAAGAGGAGCTTCAGGTTGAGTTGATGGAACTGGAGGCTCTTCACAAGCAGATTCTTCAACTCGAGCAGCTTGTCGAGGAGAGGGAGGCGTCCGTTGCCAAGAAGCTTGGCAAGAAGTATCCTCCTCCTCCTCCCTCGACTTACAAGAAGATCAAGGATTGCGATGGAGTGCAGTGTGTTTTGCACACTGTAAAGGATGGCGTGCGACACTCTGCTCATAGGTTCTACGATCACGTCTTCGGACATCCTCCTCCACCACCTCACCATGGTCCTCACCACGGTCCTCATCATGGAAATGGCACTCACCATGGACCTCCCCCACCTCCTCCCCCTCACCATGGCCATCCTTTCCCCTTCCCTGGAGGTCACCCTCCCCCTCCCCACTGTCCTCCTTGCTCTTGTGATCCTCACCATGGCAATCCCCCGCCACCTCCTCCTCATCACAAAGATGGACCTCACGGGCCTCACCATGACAAGCCTGAGCACGGTCCTGAGGGTTTCCGCGCCGAGGGACATGAGGGACACCCCCCACCACCACCTGTAAGTCCAGTCTAATAATTCATCAACGGTTTCAATTTCTAACAACTATTCAGCCTCCTCACCATCCCATCATTGTGATTCTCGGCGTCCTCGCCATTGCACTCGCTCTTTTCAGCGGCATTGCCATTGCCTACATCCACCGCCGCATAGCTCGTCTCAGCCCCGAGTCTCGACGTGCCATCCGCCGCGCATTCCGTCAATCTCGGGAAGAGCGCCGCAAGGGCTCCGCTTTGAAGGCTGCGTACCGAGCTTTCATTTCTCGATGTGTCGAGAACGACGAAGATGAGAAGGAGGCCATGCTTCACGGTGACCGCCGCCGAAGGTCTTCTTCTGCAAGCAGCGTGACCATGGAAGAGGAGATTGCTTCTTTCCGCGAGGCTGCTAACATGGTCGACGGCATCGTTGCTGCCGAAGAAGGCCACAACACACACGCTCGCTCTTACAGCTATGTCCCAGGCCCTCCTATTTCTTCTCGCCCAACACATCACCACCCTGCTGCCGCGGCATACCGTAGCTTTCCCGATGACGAGAGCCTTCCCGCCTACGATGATGACGAGCGCGATTCCTCGGTGGTTTCAGACGGATGCCGATACACACCTGGTAGCTCTGATTACACCCCTTCCACCTCTGGATCCAACGCCAGCGACGTTCTGGGCGACACCAAGAACTAAAACGAAACTATATGATTTTTGAGCATGCACGATCTCTTTTTCTTTCTGTTTTTTGTTTGTTTTGCATACAACTATGATACACCATATTTCCTTATCTGTTAAGATTTCAATTTTTTTCTCTCTTTTTTTTTCTTTTTTTTTTCTGCACACATGAGTGAGATATTGGATATGGGAGTTTTATATACTGTGATTCCACAGCACCTCGATAGCCATCTAATATCACATCTTGAATTGTACAAATCTCTATCATGCTACTATTAATGATGTATATATGCCTAGTTTTCTCTTTCCCCTTATTGCCCGAAGATGAATTCCTCGTAATTCTTGGCTATCTTCTTGACGCCTTCCTCAAGCTCCCAACCCTTGACTTCGCAAACATGTCGGTACATGTCCTCTAGTGCCTTTTCCATATGCTCGCCTGCTATGTGAAGATCGCTCTCTATAAGCACGCTGTCATCGGGCAGAGCGCGGAGCACCTCGTCGATCTTGGTGCAACTGGCATCTGTGCTTAGGTTGACAGCTGCTGACAGTGAGACAAAAATGCGAGCTGGGATTGTTGGGTTGAGGTACTGCTTTAACACTTCAACACTGGCACTGAACGAGTGAAGACAAATCCGTGGAGGATATGGCTTCTCGCTATCTTCTTCGTCTTCTTCATCCGAAAAGTCCTCAGCACCCTTAGCGACCAGACGCCGTTTTCGGCGTGTTATCACTTCACGCTCATGACCTTTCCATGTGTCGGCAAGAGTGTCATGAAGCACTCCATGAGCTTGCACGCCGTGTACGCTGACAGCTCGGCGAGTCTTGGCAGCAAGACGGAGTTGTGCAGCAAGAATAGCACGCTGGTGCTCTATCCTTACTCTGTGAGGACTGAGATACCGACCTTCGCGACCTCCGGGAGTGAGAGTTGAATCTCGTTCAGCTTGCTCAGATGGGTTCCATGGCTCAGGAAGACGAAAGGCCTTGTCAACGCCAATCTCACCGACCAGAGCATGAGGGTTGGCAGATAGTCGGGATTCAGTTTCCTTGAGAAATGTGCTTACAGCGATTGGGGTTGGTAGGGAGGCGACAAAGTCCAATGAAGGTTCCGGCTGCAGAACGGCGTTGTAGTGGGCCTGCTTTGCGGCATTGTCGGTGTCGGCGTCGGAGCCGGAGGTGGGCCTATATGTCGGGACGTCGGCCGAGTCATCATAAAGAAGATGTGAGAACCAGGGGTGCCAGCCAAAGGACGGAACCACCCAAGCATTGCTTTGGTCAGAGTTGTTTTGGAAGAGCTGCTTAGGGTCATGGTTAGAGTGCTTGTTGGCCACTTCTGCGACAAGATCCTGGTCCTGAGCTCGTGTTGCCATGATAGTCAATGCAGCCGCGCGCATTGAGGGAATATCCTGTATGGAATCCATCGTATCCGTTGGGTGGCAATGAGCATCGCATATTGGCAGATGCCAGGGGAACGGGGTTTCGTCGCCCACATCTACTGCAGGCACTGGTTGCTCATCGTAATTGTGGGTGAATTGACACATGTTGGCGATTCGATCGAATCAGGGAGTGAGTAAAAATTGAGATGATCTAGTTGAGTTTACACTGTAGATGCATGTAATGTTTGATTTGGCATGTGTGAAGAGGTTCATCGTCGATGGTTGATAAGGGTCAAAGAGTGATGTCAGTGGGGAAAGCTCCTTCCGTGATGTGGATAAAGATGGGGACGGGAATCGAGAGGCTCCAAGTGGGGTTGGGTTGTGGTCAAGTTCTTTTGGTGACTAACCTTGTCAGGTTTGTCAACTAACTTGTCCTTTAGTTTAGTAGCTTAGGTAGCTTAGCAATGTTCCTTCATGGCTTGGGCTTGAGTTAGTGACGTTTATTGCCTCGGCTTACTGGCTCATGTGACGTGTGTAGTTGGTGTCTGTTATCGACGGGGCAGTTTCTAGTGAGCTGGGCTGTTTGTTAGTGCACAGTCAGTTCCAGGGTCTTTTTCTGATTTACAGTCGATCACTACTGGGGGATAAGGGATCCTTGAAAGTTTATTTATTTGTAGTTCTCATAAGAAAAGATAAGGACATTATTACTCGTGGTAAGTAGACTAGGTGTTAATAATAAGCAACTCTTGTATGCAATTGTTTACAGATGGATGATTTACTCATAATGATGCTTCAATGATCCTTCTTGTGCAATGAGAAAAGTACACTTACATAGGCAGGTAGTAGAGAGGAGATACTGACTCAAGAGGCTTACCAAGGTACTTCCTGCAGGTATATTCTCCTTACAATCACTTGCATCCTTTCAATGCAACTTCCCCGCACGCTCTCTCGTGGTGGCTTATCAAATTGCCGTACGATGGTCACCTCAGACATCAGAAAAATGAGCTGCAACAGAAAATTGACCTAAGCCAAGCCAAGCCAAACCAGGCCAGACCAGACCAAAGCCACACCTTTTCACATGTGATTGCCTCCTCCAGACATTCTTTTCCTTTTCCTTTTCTTTCCTCTTGTCCTCTTCTTTTTTTCCCTCTAGCATAGATACATATTTACCTGCTTCTACTTCACTGCAACCCCATAGAGTCGCATTCTTTTCCCGCTCTTCCATCCGACGCTGCATCTTTCTGCTTATTGCATGGCAACTAGGTACAGTGAGTGAAGTGATAAGCAAGCTCCTGTTTCCAACCCCTCCTCCTCGGCCGCCTCGCTTTGACTTCCCCGGAAGCAATCTATCCTATCACGGCTTTGGGACATGTCGACGTTTCTCATCCGAGAGCGGCATCCATAGGCTCTATCTTTATGTGTGTAGCACATTCGGTACTTCAAGTCGTCAACTACTATAGTAGTCGCTCACCTCTTTGGCCCTTTTGTTTCTTCTTTTTATTTCTCTTATTCTTCATCATCCATCTTCTGTAACCACTAATTCCATCATCAACGACTGCCATCATCACTCTGGACAAACATCCATGGGATTCTTGTAGTCATGCACTACTAGTCTCGTCTCTGTAAAATCACCATCAATCAAAAATGGCCTTCTTCAATCCCGTCTACGCTTTCGTTGTGCCCTTCCTTTTCGTCGTCACCGTTCCTCTTGCTGTCTTCGCTGGCATCACAACTACCATTGCCTTCTCTGTTCTTGTTCTCAGGGTGCTGTCTGTCTATCTCGACGTAGCTTTATCCATTGTACCGCATTATTTGGGTGGACGAAAAATTCGGCCTTACCGTCCTAATAATCATTACATTCGTCAACCACACCTCGAAACTCCAGGTTCTTCTGCACTTTACACCAACCCATCAGCTTCATCGGCCGGGTCAACGGCCTTCGAATCATCCTTACGAAGACGTCGTCATCGTAGGAGCTCCAGTGCTCTATCTACAGCTGGTTCTACCACCCCAATTAGCGAAAAGGCATTCGGCTTGCTCCCTAGCATTGGCCCTGAGCGAGATTTTGAAGGTATTGGCGGTTGGCGACTAAGTGGTGATGACGAGACATGGACCACAATCAACTCAAGGCTCGAATTGCCCGATAAACAACACCATGGACGTAATCATCACCGTTCCCCGTCAGGTCCCACGACACCTGGAGAGGGCGGATATCTTATGATGAAGGGACGCAACCGAAGCCCATCAGCAATGCGCACCTCGGCATCCCCCAACAGCGCTCGCACAAGGACACCATCTGGCCCTCACATCGCTTTCACGAATAAGACCTTTATTGACAGCTATTTCCCAAACTTCAAAAATTCGCCAAAGGGACTGAAGAAATTGCCCTCCCAGGGGGTTGTCGACGCATAGGTCCCCGAGACACTAATGCTATTCTCGTGTAAATTATTCTTACGACTTTATGAAGGGAACTGAATGAGGGAATAATCGCAATCAGACCAAAACTGATAAAAATGAAAATGAGGGTACAATTCGGGATTTTAAGGGCGTTTGAGCGAGACTCTTGACATTTCTTTTGATTGATTCGATAAAACATGACATAAACATAGTATAGTCATGAAGACAAAATGATTGTTAGAACGAATGGCACTTGTGCAGTGTACTGAATTTATATATCTCAATACCCTATATCCTGGTATCAACCATGCCGAAAACGCCAAAACAAAAGTCCATCATCATGATATCATTGCCAAACCCCATGTGAACCACTCCCTCCTTAGAGAGTCTGCCAAAAGTAGTTTGCATAAAAGAAGCGCGAAAACTTCTTGTCCATGTTGACCACATGCACATCGCCCTTGCGGTCATTTCGAATAACCGCCTTGGACCACTCGCCATCCTTCTCGTCGCGCTCAATGTCAATACCGAGGCTGCGATACACCTTGAGTCTCAGCAATACCTCGTCATCAACAGGATCCCTGCGTCGCGCATTCGCAGCAGCATCTCCTTCCACGCCCTGGAGCTCGAGCTCCCGCAGACGAGCCTTCAAGTCCGCAGCAGTGAGGGCGAGACGTTCCGCATCCGTCTCAGCGTCGGCGGCAGCCTTTGCTGTGCGGAACTTGAGGGTGTCGAGACGGGCGATGTTGGAAGCGTGGTCTGCGGATGAGTGGGATGTTATGAGGTCGTCATGTCTTGATGTATGGGTTGCTAGTTGGCGGGAGAGCTTCTTAAGTGATGACTCGGCCTCGCGGACGCGGAGATCACGAGCTTGTTCAAGTGTAGCGAGTGATTCTGTTACGCGCGCAACGGCAGTTTTATCTGGTGCGATGTTGAAGTTTTCGATTGTGTGGTGAATAAGCTGGCGATTTATTAGCCATGGTTGAGAAAGGGGGTTTAAGGTTAAGACTTACAGTCGCGGGTTCTTCAGAGAGCAACATATCGGGCGAGTATTTTAATATCGAGTTTATTCGAAATTCAATAGAGAGTTTCTAGTTGTTTTGCTGAAAACGTGAAATACGATTCTTTGTACTTTGTTTAAGTGGTTATGATGAAGCTGGCAAGTCAATTCGGGCTAAGCACTATTGGTCGTCCTGACGACAATCATGGATCGTTATCATACAGCTTAACCTACACCCGACATATGCACACCCCACCTCGGTTTTCTACCATTTAACCGGATATTCTCCGTCAACGCCGCACATCGTCATCGGGTCCCGCCACAAGCAGGCAAGCAAAGAGCAATGAAGCCGAAAAGAGCTACCTCTGATTAACACGTGCGAACTCTACCATCGCAAGAAGATTCCTCTGATCTTGACATACCTAGATAGTTGATCTCCTACGAATCCTCTCTTGGCTCTACGCATCGGCTTCTTGATCGTTGAAGTCATCACACTTTTTTTTATATCGCATTACCGACTATAAACGACCCCCGTCAAAATGGTTACCGAACTACCATGTGAGTTCCCGTCTGCGTAAACTGCATGATAGATAATATGTTGAGAAATGATATACTAATCAATGTATTTCAAAGATGCGCTCGACGCAGAGACGTTAGTTCCTCTTTAAAACTTTTGCAATGCGACATCAAGTACACTTATCCTGACTGATGGCAACAGGCCGCTAAATCCCTCCGAACTCAACGTTCTAAAAGCGCAATACGACCGTGAGGGTGAAATGGTCGGCGTCCAGACCAAGTTCAACTATGCCTGGGTAAACCCTCTCTTAACTTCCTATTACTCTTGCTTCGTAACCGGCAAGACTAACATCCTGTCTTTCTTTCGATAGGGTCTCGTAAAGTCCAACCAGAGAAACGACCAGCAGCTCGGCGTCCGCCTACTCTCGGATATCTTCCGCGTCTCTCCTGAACGCCGCCGAGAATGCCTCTACTACCTAGCCCTCGGCAACTACAAGCTTGGAAACTATGGCGAGGCTCGCCGCTACAACGACCTCCTACTCGACAAGGAACCCACCAACCTGCAGGCCTCGAACCTGCGCACGCTCATTGACGACAAGGTTGCCCGGGAAGGACTCATGGGTGTTGCCATACTCAGCGGTGTTGGTGTAGCAGCTGGAGTTGTGGGAGCGTTCCTCCTGAGGAATGCCAGGAAGAGGTAGAGAAAGAGAAAGAAAGTTTTCATTTGAAGGGGAAAAGAGGGGAGAAATTCAAAAAAAGAAACGTGCAGGAGAATGTCACATTCACATGATTTGCATGGGCGGTTTCGGGAACACAACTATACTCACTCTTCGCTATAACCTCTGGATTGGGCCCTTTTTGGAGTCTTTGACTTTACGAGATATGCTTGTACTAAATAAATGAAGCGACCCTTATTATATAAGTTACCATTGTTCATCTACCATGTCTGCTAGTTTGATTCCCATGCAGATGTTCCGTCATGATCACAGTCAAGGTTTAATACAAATTGACGGACTAATCGAAGTCTGCAATGGATGAGTAGTGCTACAGTCTTGGGAGAAGTGGAGTACTCACGATACTATTCGTACATATATCACAGAGCGAGTCATGGTACAAGGGTGAGACTAAGACAAATAAAACAATGTTAAGGAAACCAAGATCAAGCCAGCTAAGAAACAAACCAAAGAGACAACGCGTCACTGTCTAAGGAGTATCGCGTGTTGAGACATTATAACCACCTATTCTCAACAAACGTACGACTAAAATACAACAAGTTGCTACTCGACAAACTTCCTTGGTAAAACCACCCATTTAATCTTATCTAATATTATCCATGAGCGAAGCACCATAAACCCCTTGGTGATAGAGGAACAGGTTCTCAAAGGTACAGCAAGTGAGCAGTGCAACCAGGCAGAGTAAGTGAAGGGTTTGGAGAGCCAGTATGTCACACTCCCGGCGAGAATACGGCGAATGACGACCAAGATAAAATAGTTGCATCTTCCACAGCTCTCGCACCGAGAGACGCTTAGATATCGTCATCTTTCGCCGGTGGCCCTGCCGTTCTCCTCTCCAAAAGGTATTTTCGTGTAACAGATTAGAGTAAGACTAAAAGGCGTCAGGCGTGACTTGGCTCAAAGCATGGCGGAGAACAACGCTTGCCTGTAACTTCCGGTCACACCGGGACGCCGGCAAAGCCATATAGTCTGCATATTCCATCCTGCACGACTATTCTTCATAAATGACTTTTTTGTTCCGTCTCCGTACGACAATCATTCCGTGTGGCGTATGTGATGTGATGTGATTAGGAGACAATGTTTTGTTTCTTAATTAAAAAAAGGTGAGAGAAAGAGGCGACAAAGAAACTAGAATCGAATGCAACGAGAGGCGTCGAGCTGGTATTGTATGGGCATCATGGGTACTCAAACATGGATAAAGAAAGATGAAAGAAATGCGCAGGTCGTCAAGAAGTTGGGAGCTTAGCGAAGAGAGAATCCCTTTCGCTTGCCCTCCTTCTCTAGTGGTCGTCCGCTCTCGACGCGTTGCTTCTTGTCCTCGAGCTCCAGTCGTTGACGGTCGAGCTGCTCCTTCATCTCCTTGTGTCGAGCGTAAAGTTCCTCTTCGGACTGCTTCAGCTTGCTCTCCTTCTCTGCCACCTTTTGCTGGAAGACCATCTTCATCTCGGCCTCCATCTTGGCAAGCTTCTGCTCATGTAGGGCACGCTCTTCCTCCTGCTTGACAGCGGGGTTGACCTCCTTGAACACGCTGGGGTCTTGAGACACACCCATGGCAAGCAGCTTGTCGGTACGGTAGTTCTCGTAGAGCTGGTTGTTGGTGTGCTCCTTGAGTTCCTCCATGTGAGTTCGGATGAGCATTTGTCGAAGCTTAACGAAGTCGCAGTGCTCCTCGTTATCGACCTCGATAATTCCCCAAGGGTACGCACGGCCACGGATCTTGCGACCATCGGCGCTGGTGATCTCGTTGTTGGCACCAACGACGGCGAAAGGAACCTTGGACATGATCTCGTTGTTCTCCGCGATTGTCTCCTCGTCGTCGAGCTCGTATCGGGGACCCTCAAAGATCTGGATACCATGGTGCTTAATATCGGCGAGGATCTATATTGGTCAGCAACTGAAAGATACATCGTCATTCGAATTAGCTTACTCGAGACTTGAAAGCAGCAATCTCCTCATCGGTAAGGGTATCAGCCTTTGCAATAACAGGGATCAGGTTGACCTTGGTGTGAAGTCGGCGCATCACCTCGATGTCAAGAGGCTTGAGAGAATGGCCAGTGGGCTGGATGAAGAAAACGCAAGCATGGATACGGTTGTCAACAATGTTCATGCGGTTGACCTTGTTCTCTGCATCCAAATAAGAGTCAAATCGCTGCTCAATGTTGTCGACAATAGGGCGCCATGACTCGTCGTTGTTGACGAAGTCACCGAAGCCAGGGGTGTCGACGACAGTGAGGCGAAGACGAACACCAGCCTCCTCGATATCGGCGCTGATGGACTGGATGGTAACGGTCTTGGGAATAATGTCGAGGCTGGGGCCCTTGCGCTCCTTGGGGGGGTAGAGAGAGGTGTTGAACAGGGTGTTGACCAGTGTAGACTTGCCAAGGCCAGATTCACCTATTCTGCTGTTAATTCACGTCTACTATTTTGCCAGTGCGACTACATACCAACGACCATGACATTAAAGTTAAAGCCTTTGCGCACACTCTTTCGGTGCCATTGGTTGGGCAGGTTGGCGAAGCCGACATAGCCCGTGAGCTTTCTTCGGACAATGTTCCTGTTGTCAGCAGCGGGGGGTGGCTGAGAAGGAACTTTATAGAATGGTCAGCAAACTGTTAAGAATCATGTTCAAATTGAATGCAAACTTACCGTTGGTGGGCGAGGCAGAAGGGGCCAACGCTGGGGACTCGCTGCCAGGAGAAGCTATTGAAAGATACGTTAGCAAGTTGATCATTGGCCGAGACTAGAGATAAGAATGCGCAGGTAGAGGTGAGAGGAAGATCCTGACTCCACGAATATTCCGAGCTGGTGAATCGATGGTTAATCCTGGGCGGTGGTTGTCTGTTATCGCCTGATTGACTGGGCTCTCCGTCTTGATCTGCCGTCTTGTCATCGCCATGAATATCGACAAGTTGCTCATAAAAGGACATTGGTGCAATAACATTTAGCGTCAGCCGGTTATCAGCATCAACGTCGAGCATGCTGCGTTGGTGGCGTACAGGCGAATGGCGTGCAGCAGACGGTTTAGATGAGCCTTGATCACCCTGGCCTAATGGAAATTGGTTCATGGGGAGACTTATTGATCTCCTGGAGTCACCAGATGTTCTCGGCGTTGGTTCGGCGATGGGCGGAGGGTTCAGGAATAGTAGACTGGTTCCCAAGCTCACGCTGCGATTGCGAGCTTTGGCATGCTTTCCCAGGTCGAACGACATCTTCGGATTCAGGGGTTGGGTGAAGTGCTGGTTATCGACTAGGGAGACTGTCGGGACCAAAAAAAAAAAGGGGGACCAGGACAGAGCCAATAGATTATAGATGATGGAGAACGAATGCCGTCGAAGTTATCGTGAATCGATGGTTCTTGCAATCATTCTTGTCGTTGTTAAGACAGCCACACTCAAACTCCTGGGAGGTTGGAATTGTCCTCGTCGTTGTTGTCTGGGGCTCCTTCCTCAACCTCTACTGGGCGCTTGTGCCATGTGGAAAGACACGAGCGTGCATAAAAAGAAAGAATCGCCTTACCCATATTGAAATATCAAGAACGGTCGAAGTGGAAGGACTTGTAGGAAAGTGCGGGTTCTAAAGTCAAAGCTCGCCGGTTAGCTACGTCAGGTAAAAGGCCAGCTAGCTTCACAAGCTTGGTAAAGGATTGCCAAAGGAAACAACGATAGAAGGACGCCCGTCTCGACACTACGTTTCCAGGCTAGAAGCGCAGTTTGAATGGAAGTGTCGTCGGATCGATCGAGGCCGCTCTTTCTCAAAGTCGTCGTTGTCGGGTTCAGAAGTGGAACGAGGGACATCAACTCACGGATATACCAGGAGACGCGTGTCAATAGGTGTCGTAACGAGAGTAGACGAAGATTAAGAAGGAGGTCACGGGTTTATCAACACAGGACCGACTCTCACGCACGATAAATGGCGATCGAGATAGAAGAAGTAGCAATGATGATGCTAGAAACGGGGGGTTAGGAAAAAAAGAGAGAAGGTGAAGTCAAGGAGAGAAATGGGAAATTTTGGAGGCGATAGGCGGACCAAGCAAGGAGACGAAATTCTGATGTGCTGTGCTGTTCTCCCAGCAGAGCAGCCCAAAGGCAAAGGAACCGTGCTTCAACAAAAGGGGTTTAGAAGAGCTAATCCTAAATTAGGCTAGTGTGGGTCCCTCAACTTACATGATCCAGGGGCAAGCTCTGGAGAATTAGCGAGCAGGGTCGCTGAAGGGCTACTGTCGAGCCTAGAAAGATGCTGCAACGGTAGCTCTGATTGGCTTTTGAAACCCGGGTCCAATTAACGGTGCGGCACAGGGGTTGATCAATGGTAGGATGGGAGATTGGAGAGGGAGTGAGTGCTCTTAGTAGCTTCACCTCACGCAAATTAACAGTAAGGTTTTGTATCTTGGCTTGGGCTCCTATCAGCATGTAGCATCGACAACTGCCATCAAGTTTACTTTTTTCGAATATGTAGAGCTTTGCTTGTTCAGCTTCATGTTGTGAGTACGCATTTACCTTTACTTGATCCCTGTCTACGAATTTCTAATTGTGGCGGAAACACTACTCCTTACTTAAATCATTCCCCGAACTTGGAGCTCACCTGAGGTTGTTTCTAAAAGGGGAATGCTACTTTAATCATGTACATACCTAGCTCCCCTTGTGCTTCAAGCATCAACGATCTTTTTATGTACAGCATAGCATGCTATCAATATCGAAAGGGGGTTTGTGGCTCCTATTATCATTCTCTCCATCATAGTATATTTGCATTGACTGTTTTCTCTTCTTATAGCTTTGCTCCTCCAATCTTTGGTCGCATGGTCCGAGACACTCGTAAATGAGACGTTGCTAGACACAAGACAGACACCAAAACACATGTCGATCAACGTTATGTTTAGGGGCCAGGGTATTTATCCCCTTCTTTCTCGTGACCAAAAATGCAATTGAATCATGCGCGAGAGTAACCATCGTGCTATCATCAAGCTATCTATTTCCTGTTCGTCCCTCCAGGCCAGGAGACGGACGGATAGTCATTTAAACACTGGGACGTTGTCCACCCGCCGTCAAGTCCGGTCGCGCCTCAGCCGCTCCCACGTCTGTGCTAGAGGAGTCCCTCGTTTAGTTTCCCTTCCCCGTCTCTGTCTCCGTCAAAACATCAAACATCACTGACTTGCAATCAGCCCGAGTTGTTTCCTTGGTGGGTCTCGACGCCATTCACACCCATGCACTCTACCCCGTGCGTGGTCCATTCATGTTACTTAGCCATGAGCCAACCTCGTCTCATCTACAGTCCTTGTCATCCATATATTATATCAAGTTGTTTCCGTAGCGATTATTAGGGTTATCGAAAGATCAATGCTTGAAGGCCGGCCTCTGAGCAGATGGATCGACCTCAGGCCAACACCTAAGCCGATACACACCAACACGCCAACCATCCTCCATCCCGTGTTGCGACTTGAAAACGAGTTCACATGCATACATTACATCTATTCATGGCAATAACATCATATTGAATTCAACACAGTCTCTCTGTCTCCTGTTGCGTACGCTGTCTGTACTACCAACCTCGTGCAGCTCGCGTTTTGCATAGAGAAGACTGATAACAAGGGAAATTCAGAGCTTCCAGTTGCATTCCAGACCAATGCAAGGGTATACCTCTCCTATCATTCTAGATGACTATTAGCACAGCTCATGTTCCACCTAATCTACCTTAATATGATTCATGCGGAGATGATAATACATGTGGCAGGAAGTAAAAAATCACCTATGTCTGGACTGCTTTTCATCAGGGTTGTCTCTAGGGTAGCCTCGTCCGTCTGGGTTTCATGTTTGAATGTGACACAAAGGACACTACGGTATTCCAAGTTGAACTTGCAGAAAGTACATACCCTATATCCGAATGGTTCTCACTTCTTAATGCACTTTCTCGATTATAGTATCTTCACGTTAGTGGAAGGTCTTAGTTGGAGTTGGTGTACAGCGTTCTCGAACCCCTCATGCTTAATTACACGTGAAAGTAGGTGCTTTCTCATGGCCCTGAGGGTAAATAAAGTCAAGACTAAAGGTAAAGAAGAGAGTAATTTTGCCAAGTAGAATGTGGTATCTATAAAATCGCCTATTTTATATGTCTCGCACCAACCTCGAATGTCTTGGTGCCTCTGTTTGATTACATGCCACATCCCCGTCTCCTGTAACGGTATAATACACTGTCGTTATACTGCCTGGACGCATCCCTCAGCAATGTTCATACAATAACATACAATCATTTTACGCTAGGCCAGCCTGCTGGCTAGCAAAGAATCGCTTTGACTCAGCACATCTTTCGCTCTTGCAACCAGGGCATCGGAGACCCATTTGCTTCGAGCAGGCCTTGTTCTCAGCGAGATGTTTCTTGGCAATGTCGGCAAGAGCTTCAATGAACACAGGACTGCCGTTGAGTGATTCAACTCGCTTGACGGTCTCGGGACTGCCGCTGTCGGCAATAACCTCCTGGTCCAGCTCGTAGAGAGTTTCGATATGGTCGGAGGTGAAAGCGATGGGGATAAGCACGAGGTCCTTCTGACCCTTGGAGACGTAGTGTTCCACGCTGTCCGAGGTTTGGGGTCCTAACCAAGCAGACGGGCCGACCTGAGACTGCCAGCAGAGTCGGTAGGGGTTGGAAAAGCCAAGTCTCTGCATGACAGCATAGACAGTTGCCGCAACCTCAGCCGGGTAAGGATCGCCTGTCATTTGTTAGCATTTATTGCGAAGATAAGCAACGGGTGTACGAACCTCTGTTGACAACAGACATGGGCAGACTGTGAGCGGAGAAGAGCAGCACAACATCCTTTCTTCGCTCCTCAGGGTACTCTGCAAGCTTGGCCTCAATGTTTTGCGCAAACGCCTCGACCAAGCCGCTGTGGTTGGGCCAGCGGTCAATTACACTCCATGTGATAGTACCGTCGCCGGACTCCTTGTTGGTCTTGCCCTCGAGTCTGTGCCTCCATTTCCACAGCTCATTCAAGCTGCTACCTGTTGTCGAGCAGGAGTACTGAGGGTATTGTGTGAATGCGACAGCGCGACCGCCCTTGCCGTTACCAAACCCGTCCTTCAGCAGCTGCTCATACATCTCCTCAGTCAATGGATCCGCATATCGGAAAGCGACGTATGGCTTGTGGGGTGCAGTCTCTGGCGAGATCTTGTCCAAGATCTTGCACATCTCGGCGTTTTGGTATTCAGACCACTTGCGGATTGGGGATCCTCCTCCGATTGCAGAGTATTGCTTGATGATTTTGGGTGTTCGACGCTTCGAAATCAAAGGACCGAGGTAGTTCTGCAGGGGGCCAAGAGGGATCAGGTCACCATCAGCCTGTGACAATTGTCAGTATACGGGAACCCGGAGAAGCCAACTCGTTGACGATGACCTACAAAAAGACGACTCAAAAAGCTGCCAACCTCGTCAGTAGTCGAAGGTCCTCCCATGTTGAGGAAGACCATAGCTGTAGGGCCCTTGGATCCGGTCGCATCTTGGGTGACAGGATGGACAGTAGTGGCCAGATACCGCCTTTGAGTAGCGATCTGGGGTAGCGCAAGACGATGCGAACTGGCCTGTGAAACGCTCCTGCAGAGCTGGCTTGTAGATATCCTCAAAGCCATCGTAAATAGATTATCGTAGACTTTTAAAATATAAAGTACAGAAGAAAAATAAAGGAAGCAATTCTTCAATTGAAAGTGTTGGGAAAGTTTGGAATCATGAGACACCTGAGGGTGTTAGGAAATATTGCCGATGTTACATGCAACTTAAGTGGGCGGCGATGATGCATGCATCTCCATGGACTCCGGGATCGTCTGCAGCGCATCATATCGAATTTTCGCTGAGGCCTTCCATCTAAAAGTGACATACGGTACCCGCGGATATCCCGCGGTGAGGAAGGTACCGCCATTGGAGACAATGTCTCAGCCAATTGCCGAGCTCGTAATCTAATCCAATTCATCAGCTACCTCACGTGACCTCGCGTCAGGCAGCGCGTCGACCCTTGTCACCTAGCTCGCGTTTGCCTAAAGCTATGGCCCACTAACATGAGATCAACCGCCAGCTCTTAAAGTCGAGCTGACCTGCGCAATGAGATTGACCAATCTTTAGTAAACAACAAAGATCTCATCAAAAATGGCCGATAAACAAGATTGGCGAAAAGAAGACGAAGATGAAGGGGAGCAAGAGATTGACGAAAACGTGAGTTGGTTGAGTCTCTGCTATCCCATCTCAACTTCATACTAATCCACTCCACTTAGAGCTACAAGGCACAGAAGGACGCTGTCTTGCTCGCGATAGATGTGAGCAAGTCCATGTTGAAGCCGCCACCACCTTCAGATTCCAAGAAGGCAGATCGCGACAGCCCTGTACAGGCGGCTTTAAAATGCGCCTACCACCTGATGGAACAGCGCATCATCTCCAACCCCAAGGACATGATGGGTATTCTTCTGTTCGGTACTGAGAAGTCCAAGTTCCAAGACTCAAGTGATGGCCGAAATAGCTTGGGCTATCCGCACTGCTACCTGTTCACTAATCTCGACGTTCCTGCGGGTGAAGACGTCAAGGCTCTAAAGGCCCTGGTCGAGGAAGGTGAAGATGAAGATGAGGTGTTGACACCTTCGGATGAACCCGTAATCATGTCCAACGTGCTGTTCTGCGCAAATCAGATCTTTACGACCAAAGCGGCAAATTTCGGAAGTCGTCGTTTGTTCATTGTGACTGACAACGCCGATCCTCATGCTTCAGATAAACAAGCCAAGTCTGCTGCGGCTGTTCGAGCCAAGGATCTCTACGACCTCGGAATCATGATAGATCTGTTCCCCATTACCAGGGGAGACGACAGTTTTGACATACACAAGTTCTACGATGATATAATCTATCGAGACCCTGTCGGAGAAGCGAACATGTCTGAGGTTCGAACATCAAAATCGGGAGACGGATTGACTTTGCTCAACTCCCTGATTTCAAACGTCAACTCGAAACAAACGGCAAAACGAGCTTTGTTCTCAAACCTACCATTCGAGATCGCGCCCGGACTCCGGATCTCTGTCAAGGGGTACAATATCGTGCACCGTCAAGTTCCAGCCCGAACTTGCTACATCTGGTTGGATGGTGAAAAGCCGCAAATTGCTACAGGCGAAACCACACGCATCTCAGAGGATAGTACCATGGCAGTTCAAAAGGGACAGATAAAGAAGGCATACAAGTTTGGGGGCGAATATGTCTACTTTACCCCTGACGAACAAAAGTCGTTGAAGGACTTCGGATCGCCCATTATACGCATCATTGGCTTCAAGCCCCGCAGCTCGCTCCCCATATGGGCCAGTACCAAGAAGTCTACTTTCATCTTTCCAAGTGAAGAAGACTATGTTGGCTCAAGCCGAGTTTTTACAGCGCTTTGGCAGAAGCTGCTCAAGGACGACAAGATGGGCATCGCTTGGTGTATCACCCGTGCCAATGCGCAACCGATGCTGGCCGCCATCATACCGTCTAGAGAGCGGTCTGATGACGACTCAGGCACTCCTTACCTGCCTGCCGGTCTCTGGATCTACCCTCTGCCATTCCTGGACGATTTGCGAAACATCAACCCTTCAAGTGAAGTGCTGCGGAGCTCCGACGAGCTTACAACACAAATGAGAACCATTGTTCAGCAGCTCCAACTGCCCAAGGCCATGTACAACCCATCGAAATACCCCAATCCAGCTTTGCAATGGCATTACAGAATCCTGCAGGCCCTAGCGCTGGAAGAAGAAGTGCCCGAAAAGGCGGATGATGCAACAGAGCCCAAGTATAAAGCCATCAGCAAACGCGCAGGTGGTTACTTGGAAGACTGGTCCGAAGGCCTAGCACAAGAAGCAGGCAGAGTTGCGAACAGCAAGGCGACCAAACGTGAAACTGACGATGAGGATGTGGAAAGGCCAGCAAAGAAATCAAGAGGAACATCGGAGAAGGCGTCTGGCTCTTCCTTCAACATGGAGCAGTTAAAGGCAGAAATAGATAGTGGTGGCATTAACAAAATGACGGTGGTTCAGCTCAAGGACTTGCTTGCTACCAAGGGCATGAGTACGGCTGGCAGGAAAATGGATTTGATTGAGAGGGTTGAACAATGGGTGGAAGAAAACTCATGAGAGCGCGGACTGTCTACCTAGTTGTGCGTTGTGTGCGTTGGCGTTTGTGGTGACTTTCAGTAAGGATCCTACGAGTCGAATACCATATATTCTGTGAGCGGAGTGTTAGGCATATTCAAGGAAATATCATTGTTCTCGCTTATTGGTGTGAAAGTGAAAGTGAAAGTGAAAGTGAAAGTGAAAGTGAAAGTGAAAGTGAAAGTGTGATGTGAATGACTGACATTCAATATGTAGCTGCCTATTTTTTTTATTAGCATTTTATCGTTTCACATTATTCTTTTAGCTTTACTGCAGCATTATAAAACGTGCGACCTTTTGTAAGCTTCAACTTATTCATACATGAGTGCATATGTTTTTTCAAGCATCTTTTTGTCAGATATTGTTGTTCTGAAGGCGTGAAGATGGACGTGACGAAAGCTCCATCAGCTCTAATGCATACGCCATCTTCAGCGTCTACTAGCTGTCGAAGCCCAAGTAATTTTCAGTGGGCTGCACGCGAGGACAGTAGCAACAGTCAGAATATATCCCCTGTGACAGACGTCCGTGCACACAGCCCAACTGGGTGTCCTCCTTCTGTAAGACTTTCTTCAACTGTCCGGGCAGGCCCATAGAGCTAGCTAACGCAGCTAAATAGCACCCTACCTCATCCGTCAAATCAGTGGCATTTTCATCATCGGCACCCACTCAGTTGTTTGCGAGCCCGCAAACACCAGACACTGGCACTGGATGTCGATACCGTCAGGATCTCCCATCTCCGGCGCGCACAGATCCATCGCCCCAGAAGGAGCCCTGGGCGGACGACTATGTTTCTCGGCTTCTACGTCGAGTGCGACACCATCCGAATCACGGGCACCGCGCCAACACCAGCCCCGTTATGGCCGATTTCCTCGCGAGTTTGGGTTTTGGAGGCGCGCAAACAACAACAGTGTCAAATAATTCGCAATGCGATTCGGTTGAGCAGCTACAGAACCAGCTGCGAGGTATCCTAGATGCCAAGGTGACATCGACACGAGCCGAACATGTTGCAATTACTACAGAGTTGAGGGCCACGGTCCGGTTTCAATTGACTGTGTCAGAGCTGGAGAACGGAGCCCATAATAATCCAAATAATCTTAATACCTCGATGGAAGGAGTGCAATCAACAGGAGTGAATGGTGATCAAGATGCGGGGCAGCCACCGCGCGTTGTTTTCGCGAACGACACGATCATGAATCAGCCCCAAGACGATCCAGCACTTCAAAGGTCAGTCGCCAACCATATTATTTCAACAATCAGTTCAGCAGACAGAAGTATTTGGATCGTCCAAGTGGTGTCTAGAGGAGCACAAGGATGGACCTTAACGTACTTGTGTAAGGATTCATTCCAGCATTGGAGTCGACAAACCGCCAAAAATCCATCGAAGACAATAGTAGGCGAGTTCAGTCAGAGAGAGCCCGACCCGACTCTGCACAGTAAGTTGATTTCCAAGCCGCATTCATTTTCGAAAGCTCATCATGAAATAGCACGACCTGCGTTTGACTGTCGAGGATCCATCGTTATTGCCTTCAACCGTAGCACTCGTTCCATCACGATCAAATATGACCATACGCCTCTACATAAAACAGTCGCCGAACTTGCTGCGTATTTTAAGCCGCCACCGCGCCAACTAGGCCCAGGTGCACAGAAACTACAAGAACAGCAACAAAAGGCCAAAGAAAAGACACCAAAGAAGCCCAGAGGAGAGAAGAAGGACAGGAAGGAGCGAAAGAAGCGGGATTCGGTCAAGGCGCAGCACGAGAATGGAAACCCCCGAAAGCGGAAAAAGAAGAACAATGACGCATCTCAGTCCGAAACAACTGATGGCCCCATAATCCCCCCGGATTATCCTGGAGCGCCAGCGGTCAATGGGCAAACAAACTTGGCCTACATAAACGGCGGACAAGCGCCGGACGAAAATGGACAGCAAGACTTCAATGACTACCCCCAGGAATTGATGGGAGATGCGCCAGGAGCTACAAACGGAACTGGATCTCAACAAACAGGCGGCCAACCTGGCTCCGTCACTTTCCCGGTAAACGTTTCAGCAGCCGAAGCAACACGCCGGCGGGAGGCAGCAACGGCAATGCTCAGCAATGCCGGTGTAGATCCCACGACTTTGTCACCTGAGCAATTCGGGATCTTCTCTAATCAAGCACCCGAACTGCAGCGGGAGTCATTGAACATGCTTGTTAAGTACGGCGCGGAGCGCCTCCGGATTGTCCATCCCGGCAACCGGGAGGGCTCAGCTCAGGCAAGCGCTTCTACTGCGCAAAGCACCCAAAGTTCAAACGGACCTAGGACCATCAAAGAACTAGTGCCACAGTCTGGCGCCCAGGGCAGCCCAAACACAGATTCTGAGGCACAAGCTGTGTCTCAGACCCCCGATGATACCTCGTCCCCTAAGCGAAAAGCGAGGAAGACGGGCAAGTTGAGAACAGCTTGCTGCCCGTGTAAAGGACGAAAGACCAAGGTAAGTGTCTCGCGTTCCACCGTTATCCATCATCGAGCTAACGTCAAAAAGTGTCCAAGGGAGAGACCAACTTGCACTGAATGTTCAAATCATGGGACTGCATGTGAGTATGCACCTCAGAAACCACAAAACAAAGGAAAGAAGACCAAAAAGTCGGAGGAAATTGTCATTGACGACGATGACGACGAAGAAGAAGAAGAAGAGGAAGAGGAAGAAGTAGAGCAACATCAAGAGCGTCAGGAAGTTGCTGAAGACGCCGAAGACGCTGAAGCAGAAGGTGACGAGGAAGAGGATGACGACGATCAGCAAACTGCTTCTCAAGATTACTCGTATCCACAGATGAACATCGGAAACATGGTCACTAGCACAGACACGACCACCCACGCTGCACAGAACAGTTATTATCAATCAACTTCAAGCTTAGCCATGCCACAGGCTAATTCTTACCCAAACAACTTACAACCGTTGACTACGGCAGCTTCGCAGCGAGATAACTATTCTCACGCTCTGCCTGAAGTAACACAACCAGTCCATCACCCGCCACCTCCCATTCCAGCACCAGCTGGAACTATTGCCCCCTCTGAGACAAGACGCTGGACCGCTTTTGGCAGCGATGCAAGTGATAGCGGCAAGGCAAGACAAAGTCTTCCATTCGAGCCTCCTCACCCAAACATACAGAGTGCGTCCACCACATACTCGCAGCCATCGGACTGGGGGCAAAGCCCTAACACGACGATGTCTGCAATGCCTGCGACGACCATGGCAACTGTCTCGCCACAAATATCATATGATACACGACACAGTCAGAGAAGCCGACAGAAGAACAAGAGCCTGTCGAACGATTCAGCTCAACAAGTAGCAGCAATGGCCAGTACAGCCATGCAACAGGCCCAGGTCCAGGCTCATGTTCAGGCTCAAGCACGCCAGTCACCAGTTGCAGCAGCAGCCATGATGGCACAGGCCCGCAAGTCTCCATACCAGCAGGTTGCGGTCCCTCGCACGACTTCTAGAACGGGTCAGCGAAACCATTCCAGAACACCGGTCACAGATCAGGCAAGGGGCTACCAGCCTCCTCCTGTTGACATGAGTCAACAGCGAACCGCAGGACCAAGTGCTCACTACGATACATCATCACACATGCCCAGCGGCTCTGGCTATAATGACTATGGGCGATACAGCGAAACCAATACTGCGGCAGGCCACCAGGCAGCTATGTCGGCAGCTTCGGCAACACCGACCACTATGGGCACATCTTATCAAAGCAAGCCTTCGACTGCAAACCAGTGGTCTGGTTCATCGAGCCGGAATGATCGTTCATACAGTACCAACTCTTCGTACCAAACACCAAACGTCTATGCGCAGACATCAGCTGCCAAGCCGGCATCAACCTCTGGCCAGAACTTTAAGATGCGTCCGGGTACACAGCAACAGCTGCCGCCGCAACAACAGCCGCAGCATGCTCATGGCAGGAGCAACTCTTACAGCCAGCAGCAACAAGCAAATTATCCAGCATATTCGGGATCGACACATCAGAATCAACAAGGTCAAACATCCAACCAGCAGCAGCAGCAACCACCGAGCTGGTACTTCCAAAACTCGCACAACCCCTGCATGCATGCCGGGGGTCAATCATCTGGTTATAATTATGAGCCATGGTCAGGCGTTTAAGGATCGGTAATGCCTGATTGCATAATTGCATCTTCTTTATCTACAGGCTCACAAATGGGACCGACAATTGTTTTGGGCGGGTTTGATGACATGTGTTTATTGAGCGGATAGCCTCTTGGCTGGTGTGCGAATGCATTTCAAATTTATGCACTCGTGCCTGAAGATACCCCCATACACACTAGATAGATAGCTGAGTATTGATAAACAGAGCTTTTCACCACAGTTGGCATTCCATAATCTGAGGAGCGAATTGTAATAATTAACTTTATTAATTCCGGCCCTAAAATAAACAAACGAATGAATGCACTGCTCCATATTCCGTGGTATTTCTATCATATTAGTCCTTCCAATCTATCGTTATATCATCCAAAGCGTTTCAAAAGAGGTATTATATGGACAAAAGCATCGTGTACCATCTACTCAACATGATCGTAGACAGCAAACTTGCTGAGTGATCGCAGCTTGGCACCGTAAAAGTACAGCAACCAGATACCGATAATACCAATGACACTCAAACCACCAAGCAGACTCGTGCCCTTGTCAACGCCGAGGTTGTCAAATAGGGGCTGCGCAAAGAGGACGCTACCGCAAGCAAGAGCGCTTCGGAAGAAGTCATTTGCAGCAAAGAGACTGGCAGCGTACGTGGGATAGCTCAGGGGAATGTAGACAAAGATACACTGCATGACAATGAAGACGGTGGCACCGTAGATGGTGATGCCAATGGTTGGTACGATCCAGTGGATCGAGGCTCGAGCTGTCCAGGCGAAGAGGAACAAGCCGATAGTAGGTCCAATAGAGGCCGGGAGAGCTGGGACGAGACGGGCTTCTTGAATGGGCCAGCCGCGCTTGGCGATGCGAGGATCCATGTAGAAGTAGAGGTAAGCGAGGTAGACCCCAACACCGATCATACATGAGACAAGAACACAAAGGAAGACGAGACCGATTTCACCCAGGTTCATGTTATAGTAGACAGGGTAGACGCGAGGGAAGACTTCAAAGACTAGAAAATAGTTAGACTACCAAATCTCGTTGTTCAGAAGTAAATAGACTTACAGGAATAGTAGATTCCATAGATGATGGCAGTGTAGATCTGCACAAACAGAACAGCTGGATCCTTAATGGTGATCTCCATGGGCTTGATGAGGGCATCAAGAGCGATGGCGGAAACCTTCATGTGGCGCTGATCGACCTCACTCTGTGACATGAAGCGCTGGTTCCCTGTGAGTTTACGGAGACGCTCAGCACGGCGGAGGAGGATGTTTGCACCGCTTGTCTCGGGGAGGAGGAGGAACATGAGGATGAAGATAGGGGCAGAGGCCCAGATACTTTCATACAGAGACCAGCGCCAGCCTTTGACAGGGACCGCAAAACCACTAAGAAGAGGACCGAGTGCAGCTGTAAAGAGTTAGTTGGTGATGTAGATTGGGAAATATCAAAGGAGACACTTACGTCCACAATAAGCAGCAGCGACCCAAGCCATCATGGCATAAGGGAGAGCCATGAAACTGTAGATATCACCGAGTGAAGCACCGCCGGAAGCCAAACAAGGCGAACCAAAGAAACCTTGGAGGAATCGAAGAACCATAAGGCCGGGATAGTTCTTGACCAGCGCCGTGGGAATGGAGATGATGACAAAGAGGAACATGGTGACGATGTAAACGGGGTTACGACCGATGCGAGGGATCTCACTCAGAGGTGAGAACAAGAGAGGTCCAGTGCCGTAGCCGAGAACATAGAGAGAAAGACCCAGCGTAGCCTTAAGCTGACTTACGCCAAAGGTGCGCATGACACCTTCTGTCGAGGATGTATAGATGGCTGATGAAGTGTAGACGACAAAGGTGTAGAGGCAGATTATCAGGGCGACGCCGAGTCGTCTGTTGTTGGTCCAGTTGTGAGGGTTCTCGTTGTCGTCACTGTAGTACCAGTCCACGAGGATATGTCCATCCTTGGTACGCTTTGGCACGACGGGGATAGACTTTACTTTTTCAACATCGTGCTCCTCGTCGGCTTCTAGACGATCGATGGTGTAAGCCTGTGTCTCTTGAGGTGATCTAGAACGATGCAGTCTCACGGGGACTGAATCAGCGCGTTCGACATCTTCGGTTTCTTTGTCTGTCTCGCCCTTGGCCTTGGGATCTTCAGTTGCTGCGACGGTGGAAGAGGCAGAGGAAGCGAGGGCTGTGCCTGTAAGGGGGCCGTTGTTGTTGGTAGTAGAGTTCTCATCGATAATGGCGTTTGGGTTGTTAATGACCGTGTCCCAGGCTTCGGGGAGCTTAAAGTCGGGCTTCTCTTCAGGGTATTGGAGATATTTGTTGCGAGTAACGAAGCGGATGAGCTGCCCCAGGGGAGCATCTCTAATGATATCCGACATTGTGAGTTGGGTATAGCTTCGTATTAAGGCAAGGGTACTAGAGGCCTTTCAAAGGATATAGAGGTATGAGAAGCTCTCTTTTAACCTTATTCTTATTGATTGAGATGTAACATGATTGAGAAGAGAGACATGCAATCCATCTTATATTCCCTATCCCATCGCCCCCCCCCCTCCCTTACGAAAGGTGAAAGATAGATATTCCACGAAGCTTAGCAAGCTCAAGCTCTCAAATCTCGGATTTAGTTAGTAATATTGTGTGTGTCTTGTCAAGTCCAACAGCAATGAGACAAGCAAGGTCCATGCAAGCCACTTCGGGCTAACAGACATGATTATTACCAATCGCCGCTGACAATCATGCTCGGTACTCGGTCTACTCCCAGTTCCATCGAGTTTTTATTATGCTATGACTGTAACTGTATCTAGTTGAAGCTAACCTAGCTGGAATATGGAACGTAGTAATCAAGAGTTACTCATCCGTGATGGACTAGAGTCTGGACCTAGCGGACTTTAGGGCTGACTCTGGACCAAGATCTGCAGTCTCGCATGGAAAGGTGTTTAGAGTTATTGCCGGGATGATAACCCTTGACTGTAGATCTCGGACAAGTGTCGTAAGATTTAACAGAGATGACCACCCACTCATTGACTATCTACAATGCTTTACAACACTGCAAGATTGACAATTCCCAATCCACATGTCGTCATTCAAGATTCGGATACGCGGATGTTTTTTAGTATAAATCTGTGAGCACTAAGTTTACTGTACACATTCTGTCTGGTCTGCTTACACTTGGCCTAATAGATGAATTGCTTTTTGTCTTCCCTTTTGTCTCATATTTCTCACCTAAGCTGCACTTTTGAGTCTGCCAACTCACTTTACTCCTCATGCTAAACGAGTAAAAACTCTGCGATTTGCCTTTGATTCCATCTGCTTCTCATACGCAATGACAAGCGTTATCAGCACTAACAGACACAAAAGAGGTTGGTCTCTCCGCTGTCTAAAGACTAACTCAGTTAAGACTCGATAAAGCTTAGCAATCGCACCGTAGTCTCGGGATGTGTATCACGCAGATCAGCCAATTAGAGACCACTAATCCCCTGGATTAATCACCCTCGGTGTGACGTCTCCCCGGTTCTGAGTTGCTTGTTGTGGCTTGAGGCTTACTTACGGTCGAGCTTCAATGCCGAGTCCCGGGAGTTAAACTGCTACAAATTACACCGTAGCTATTATATCTTGGCGTATATACAAAATCGGCTCATTTGATAAATGCTCCTTTTCATATGATATTCCTCATCTTCCAGTCCATTGCCGTAAACAACAGTATAGTAACGAACCCCAATGACTCCAATAATGCATGTGTCATCACATGGAACTTTTGATGTACAATCGTTGATACCTATGCTCTTCGAGCTTCTAAACCGTTTCACTTCTGACCCTCCTGCCCGAACTTTGCCCGTGCTAGCATTCCAAGTGCCCGGATACCTCGGGACCCTGCTTACTATAAGAATATAGACCGCGCTACCGCTAAAACTCAGGGCCTCATAGCTACCCTGTGAAGCAGAAGGGAAGTCTCATTATTATGTTCGTCGCGTCACCGATGCTCATCTGTCCACGGCAGTTGGTTCGCCAAACGAAGGGCGTGACAACATGGCGTATCTCGTTACACTAGTAAAAAGCCAAACATCGCAGGCTCACTAGATGATGCTGATCTGGCCTGACTGGCTATGACGCAAAGGGAGAGCGAGGGCAAGCGGTTGGATGCTATGGCACGGTAGTCTCGTTCAAGCTCTTGTCTTATCAACTCTCCAGACAATCTCATTCGTCTGCGACAGGAAATATGCCATATTCTTGTTTCTGCTGTGAATCCATCGAGGGCCTCTCACCAAGCTCCTCGCTGCCCAGCACGCTTCTTGATGCGTCGTCTTTGAAGTTCCTTGTGTATCATCAAAGCTGGTGTGTCGGTACTCTGGTCCAGTTCGTCTATGATATCCCACACCCTAGAATCCTCCGCATCTAGAGCCATCTTGACAAATGGTTCGACCCATTCAGAAGATCGCCATAGTGTTGAGTCGGGCCTTCTTCCACCACCTTCGAGCTGGACGTATTGCGGCACTGCAGCTTTGGCATAGCCAATAAGCTTAAATGCTAGCTCAAAGTCGCCTACCTCTGCACATACTGGTATTATCACGTTGAGTGCCGCCATTGCATTTTCACGCTCCAACCATGTCTTGGGAGTTGTAGTTTCGGTATTGGTTTCTTTTTCAGAAGTAGTCTTATCAGATATGGGCTCACTGGGCGCAGCAGCCTGGTCGCTTTCTGATGCCGGCGTGGTAGGGATCTTGGTTTTGGATAGTTCGACGTAGCACATCTTTGCAAGCTCATACTTTGTTTCCGTTTTGACGCTGTGCTTAACTAGATGTCCAATATTACTGAACCGGGGGCTTCTGCCGCTAAGGAGGTATGCATTGCGAAAGAGTGGCATGGCAGCCTCCGAAGTTCGGGTTTTAGCCATGGCCTCGACTGTAACCATGACCGCATCCAAAGGCACAGGACCCTCCTTGTGCATAGTATCTATGGTGGAGGCTGCAGTGTCAATAAGATCCCGGTTCCGAAGCAAAGCCCTGTAGAGAGGCCGTGTGGTTCCTTGGTCCTCGAGCCACCCAGTTTTCTGTAACACGTTCAACGCAGAAAACGCATCCACTATGTCCTCAGCGTTGGCATAACTCTCGATAACAGCATCGTGGTGATGCTGGGAGAGCTTTCCACGACCCGACAGCTTCGCAAGAGCTTGGCTGGCCAGCTCGGTGTCGCCGTGTCTCGCGGCAGTCGCCAGAATGTTTTCAAGGGTGCCGTTAGATGGGTTGTGGATTGAAGTTTTGACAACCTCATCCCACAAATAGAGTGTTCCTGCGTAATGGAATGCCTGACTGAACATGTCCAAAGCCATCAGTTGAATATTTCTGAATGGGGCATCGGTACCCCGAGCATGTTTCCTTTTCTTGAGCAGACGAAGCGTGTCGTCTTCAAAGCCCACTCTGCCGAGTTCCAGAATAAAAATGTCATAGACCCAAAGGTCGACCTGGTCAGGGCCATCCAACAGTTCGTTAAGCTTATCCATGGCCAGTTCGTGTTGGCCCTCTCGAAGCATTGCCAGAGCAATATTCTGTTTGGCAGATTGTGTGAGCTCGAACCAATAGTCGTCCAGCAGCTTCACAACCTTCTCTCGCAGTAAATGTTCGGGGTGGACAGTGAGAGCTTGAAGAGCAAGATAGCATATCTCCGCAGTGAGCGGAACGTTTTGCTCGCGCATATCTTCTAATAATCTGCGAACTCCTTGGCTCGAGCCATCAGGATAAGCCATAGCAGACATCATGCTCTCGTAGATTAGGGAATTGAGAGGATATTGTCGATGTTTAAGCAGATACTTGACAATATGAATAGTTCTCTGGAACTTGTTCTTTACAAACGGGGCATATTCACTTGACGGTGATGCCCGCAATCTCATGAGGGCATCAATCAGGTCCTGCGTTGAAACATGTTCCAGGTCTGGTAACATTTGATCAAGAGCAGGGTTTGGAGACTTTGCCGTAATATTTTTGTCCACTTTCAAGTCGGATTGTAGCTGATGTTTTTTTCCTTGCTTGTTTTCTTCGTATCCACGCCGGTCTTCAAACTTCTCATGAAAAGAACTCAAGGCTTGCGCCTGATCTTCAGTTACTGGATCTTCAGCATTGCTGGTCCCAAATCTCCGCCATTGAGTTAGGTTTGCGCTCTGAAGTTTTTGGTTTAGAGCCTGTCTTTGGATCGAAGCATTAAATACCCTGGGCAAAACACACTTGTAACGCCCTGTCCAGAGGCACCGCCTGAGCCCGTTCTGTGCCAATTGTAGGCAGGGCATATTGGCTACGCGACTGCGTCGTTAATGTCGAGGTTAAGTTCAATGAATTAATTACTTTTGTTAGTTTGACTCTTCCGTATTCTCAAAATAACCGCCCGAGCAACCTTAAAGCGGGGCTATGCAACTCTCGAGGCCTTAGCCGCTCACAGACGCTCTCACCTTGTAGCTCACTCAACAGCCGCGCTCCACCGAGCTGTTCGTTCCATTCTCAACCTTGGGTTTCTAGCAAGCGCATCATACACCACATAGATAGCTACAGGCGCAACAACCGACAAAATGGTACGTTCACATATTGTTATTAGCACCGATAGCAAGAGCGATTTGATCAATCTGAAATCTGGCTCTCTTCGGCTCAAGACTCAACTTACTTATACCGAAAACTAACATGGAATAGCTACCCCTCGGTTTACTTAACGCCGCCCAAGGCCACCCCATGCTGGTCGAACTCAAGAACGGAGAGACACTCAACGGTCATCTGGTTTCCTGTGATACATGGATGAACCTCACACTCAAGGAGGTCGTGCAGACAAGCCCGGTATGCGCTCCTCGCTCACAGCCTCGATCGCTTGTTTGGGGGAAATGCTAATAGGTTAAAAACAGGAGGGCGACAGATTCGTGCGATTACCGGAGGTCTATGTCAAGGGAAACAACGTACGTCCAGGCGATCAGATACATACTGGCCAATATGGGAGAAGCTGACAAGCAGTAGATCAAATACCTGAGAGTACCCGACGAGATTATCGACCAGGTTAGCGAATCGCAGAAGGGCCAGCAAGGCGGTTTCCGAGGCGGACGAGGAGGAGGTTCAAGAGGAGACCACAGTGGACGAGGCGGTGACCGCGGCCGTGGTCGTGGAGGCAGAGGCAGAGGCCGGGGACGAGGTCAATAAGCTGAATTACGAAATTTCACGACGATACCTTGCGCATTCAGACCTGTTTGCCATAGATCTCAAGCACCTCGCACCAGGATACAAGGGAGTCTAAGGGAGTCTATGGTAGCAAAAACCAAAAAGAGGAGATGTCTAGTCCTCTGTGGTTACCACATACACATTCCAGCTACCAGCTACCAGCTTTCAGGTTGCTTCACGAACGAGATACATCGATTCGGAATGAAGTTAAAACGAACCAGAAGAGGCAGCAATTCCGCAAACAAATAATGCCGCATAATGTCTACTGTTGCGAGATTAGAGTGCATGTCTAAGTTTATCATCAGCCAAGGCTCCTGATCCTCAAGTAATTTAAGCTGGTCTCCATGCCAGTTTATATATACATATGCAGTACGAATGCGGATAACTTCTATTGCCCCCTTGAAACTACACCAACATAGATTCCATAGTAGATACTTATTCACTGAATTTCCATACTATCACACCAATCGACGAGACAACCTTTTCCTGACTTGGGCCTACTACGTATCACAATACAGTAATAACTCACGGGTTTCCATAATTTATGGTAAATTTAACGGAATTGTCTATTTTATGCGTAAAACGTTACTCGATGTAATTCACATCGAGTTCTATCAGCAACATAGGCCCAGTACAATTGACTATGGCCACCGGCATATATCATCAAAAGCGCAAGGCATCATATCGAAATACATCTTCATCAAACGCCCATTACCAAGTCCAAACCAAACATGTACAAATCCCTCCTCCTTCTACTTATTGTATGCATCTAAAAGTTGGCAACAGCCACGGCGATAGCCTGGCTGTCAGAGTGTGAGATGGACAGGGTAATGTCCTTGACACCGGCCTTTTGAGCAGCAGCGGCAGCATCGCCATGAAGCTGGATGTTGTTAGCATCGTGTTTTCTTTATAATAAGGAATCAACTTACAGAAACAGTGGGAGCACCATTCTCGCCCTTGACGATCTCAATGTCCTTCATAGCGGCACCAGCACCTTGGCTGGCAACACCCAAAGACTTGAAGACAGCCTCCTTGGCACTCCAGCGACCAGCGAAAGAGCTCTGAGGGCTAGGGGCCTGGCGACAGTACGAGATCTCGTTGGCAGTGAAGTTTCGCTCAACAAAGGTGTCATTATCAATGTTAACGGCAGAAATGTCCTCAACATCAACGCCGACCTGGCTGTTCTTGTTGGCAACCTTGAGAGCAAGTGCCTCCATGACCTGCTCGGTCTCCTTGGCCTTGGTAGAAGAAACGACCTTCTCAGATCGCTTCATGAAGTCAGGGCTATACTTGAGCTCAGAAGACTTCTTGTCCTCAGTGACACGGGCATCAGGGTTCAGCAGAACCTTGCTGAGCTGGTCGTCAGCGTAAGGAGAGTTGTTCTTGGCAACGAATAGCTTGTTGTTGATGAAGCCATCGTGGAAGTAGCGGTAGGCCTTCTTCTGACGGGCATCGACCTTGGCGCAGTACTCAGTGTAGGTCTTCTCGTCGAGAGTAGCAAACAGGTACTTGGGGTGAATACCAATAGCCTGAGCACCCTTCTGACCGAAACCGAAAGAGGTGACGGAGAAGGCCTTGACACCATCAGTCTGGATGCTTCGGCTGGGGTACACAATGAGGTCATATTGCTCCATGATGGGATCAACGTTATCGGCGTTGCGGTTACCAGGAACAAGACCAGTGTCGAGGACCTGGAGACATCCGTTCATCATCCAAGCACCTGCAGCACCCTTGGGGTGACCGGTAAGGTACTTCTGAAAGATACCCAAAACAGCGTTACCCTTCTTGCGGCCGAGGTGGCGAAGCTGCTGGCAGATAACGTTGGACTCGTTCTTGTCGTTGGCCCTGGTGGAGGTTCCGTGGAAAGAAGCGACACCGATATCGTCAACAGTAAGACCCCAAGTGGCAAGGGCACCACGGAGAGGAGCGATACTGGGATCGCTCTTCCAGAAGTTGTTGCCCATGCTGCGGAGGAGTTCCTTCTCTTGGCGAGCAGCCTCTCTCTCAATGTGAGCGAAGCGGTCCTGAGCGTACTCCTTCTCGTCGAAAGTGGCACCCTGGGACTTCATGGCGTCAATCTCGTCATGGACGTACTCAAGCTCAGACTCCTGCCACTGCTTGATGGTCTTCTTGCGGCGCTCAATCTGGCGACGGCGGTAGTTGATGTCAAGCAGAGGCGAAGGGAACTTGCCAGGGTTCTCACGAGCAGTAGTGAGAACACCCTGTCCGGGAGCAGGAACGGAGCGGCCAATCTTGTCAGAGGCGGTAGTAGTAAGAGCGATGATACCGTGGATGGGGACACCCATGTCAAGGGCAAGCTTGGCAGTCATGATGATTTGGATACCACAACCCTGGGACTCCATGAATCCGTTTCGGGTAGTGGTGGTAGGACGAGACATCTCCTTGGGGGTACGGCCATGAGCAAACTCGTCGACAGTGTTGCTAGTGGCTTTCATGTTGGCAAACTCGTAAGAGCCTTCCTCACCGAGATCGTCGAAACCACCAACGAAACAGACGCGAGCCTTACCCTCCATGATAGTCTCGTAACCAGTGTCGATGGACTCGACAGCAGTAGCACAAGCACCGACGGGGGTCTTGATAGGTCCGGAAGAAGACATCAACAACATGTTAACCCAAGCGGCCATGGTGTTGATGAAAGACTCCTGGAGAATGTCGTTCTGTACAGGCTGGTCGAGGAAGCGAGTGCGGTGCATGTCCCGGAGAGCAGCAGCACCACCCATGCCGGAACCAACACAGTTACCAACCTCAGAAACGTGGACGTACTTGTAGAACTCATAAGGATCAGTGATACCGCAAGACAGAAGAGCTTCGGCAGTGGAAACGAGGAGGAACAGGGTAACGGGGTCGACCTGAGAGACGATGTCGTCGGGAACACCGTATCGCTTGGGGTCCCAGCCGGTGGGGATCTGTCCAGCAACAAGGCGGTCAAAACGAAGGGCCTTAGGGATCCAGAGAGAGGCACCCTTCCTGAGACGGATGATGTACTCGCCGCTGTCAGGGATCTCAAAGACCTCGACCTTGTCACCGTGCTCACGCTTGAACTCCTCGGCGGTCTCCTTGGAAGACTCAAAGGGCTCGAGGTCCTCCTCAATGACAACCTCGTGGAGAAGCTGCTTCCTGTTGGGGTCATAGCCATCGAACAGCTCAGGCTCGATCAGACGGATACCAGAGTGCTCGAGAACGTACTTCTCGTACTTTTGCTTAACGTCCTTGTCGTCAACAGGCTCTCCTGTCTTGGAATCAACCCAGCCAGAGTAGGGCTTGCCCTTGATAGGACCGTTGTGGTTCTTGATGAGACCCATGATCCAAGCCATCTCGACGCAACCCTCAAGAGAGAATTCGCCGTAGGCTTCCATCTCCCATCGGGTACGAGAGTTACCCCAGGGACCAACCTCGGCGAAACCAGTAACAACAACAACCTTCTCAAGATCGACCATGCCCTTGAGGTTGTCGTTGAGGGGCTCAACCTCAGTCTTCCAGTCAGGGCGCTTAGGGAAGTCAAACTTGATGTTGGCGCGAGGGTCGATGGTCTTCTTCTTGTAGAGAACCTCAGAGGCAGCACCATTGACAATGGTGTTCTCAATGGCGCTCTCCTTAGCAACAGCACGACGGACCTCGCTGGTCTCCATGATATCCTTGCGAAGCTTGGTCATGGTCTCGTTCAGGTTAGGGATGAACTGGAGACCACCGTTGAGATCAGCAAAGACAGGCTCGTTCTGGCACAAGTCAACCAGAGTGGGGGACATAAGACCGAGAAGGTTGAAAGCCATCTCCTGTTGAGAGAAAGTGCGGACGCCGAAAGCCTCAACGCCTTCAGCAACAATGTTGTTGCCAGACATGAGACCAGTTCCTCGGGTCCAGCCAATGACAGCACCGCAGATGGTGAGGTAGTTGGCCCAGCTCTCGGAGTGCCATCTGTTGAAGAGAGTCTCAAGACCGAGCTTGGACTCGGAGTAGAGACCATCGTTACCAAAGGTACCGTGGTTGGGAGAAAGAGGCAGGACGACTTGAGCAGGTCGGGTCTCGAAGCCACGCTCAGTCTTCTGGGCCTTGACACATCCGAGAAGACGAACAAGGTTGGTAAGCATGATGCGGTGAGCGAGCTCAGACTTGGAGTCAATGTTGTCAATCTCACGGCCGTTCTCGGGAATGGCAGCGAAAGGAACAATGAAGTCGAGATCCCAGCCGAGACCCTCCTTGGTGTCGTAGATATACTCGACCAAAGCCTCAACATCTTGCTTGCTACCTTGATTGAAGGGAACAACAACAATCTGAGAGCCACGAGAACCGTAGCGGGTGTACATAGCCTGGTAGTACTCCGTGACCTCACGGGAGAAGCGGCTGGTGGTAACGATGACCTTGGCACCACCGCTGACAAGACCCTGAAGGACCTCAGCACCAATAGAACCCGCACCGGCACCAGTCATGAGAACGTGCTTGTCCTGGAATGTGACACCAGACTTAGCAGCATCCTCCAGGCAGTTCAGATACACGCCAGTAAGCTTCTTGCTGTAGTCCCAGCCGTGGAGACCCTTCTTCTTGAGGTGAAGGAAGGGAATGGTCTCAACCTTGCCCTTACTTTGGCTGTTCTTAAGAACCTTTCGTCCCTTGTTGTCCTTGGGAAGAATCTGGCTCTCGTTCATGGCAAGCGATCGGAGGACATCACCATACAAGCTCTTGATCTCAAGCTGAGAAGTCTTGGACAGCTTGTGCTGCTGCTTGATAAGTTTGTAGATGCGGGAAAGATCGCTCTGAACCTTGGTACGGTTACCGTACTCAGAGATCTTACCACCCTCGGCCATTTGCTGAACATAGTGTTCTAGCTTGCGGCAGCTGGCACGGGGGACTTCCTCGTAGTTGAGGTTACCTCGTGCATCGACAGTGGTCCTAGGGCCAGTAGGGACAGCGACGTCCTTGTAGACAGGAGCGACATTTAGAACATCCTGGATGTTCTCAATAAGCTGCTGTCCAAGCTCCTTGGCAAGCTTGTAAGTCTCTCCTCGCTCGGTGGGGCAGTTGTCGATGTGGTACTGCATAAACTCGAGAAGCTTAGGGTTGGAACGGTTCATGAGGCGGATGCACTGGCTGACGATCTCACGATCGACGGCCTGGAGACGACCGAAAATGATGTCAAAGTACATGCTGAGGGCGTCTTGACGAGCCCAGTTCCAGGAGGAGTCGTAGGTTCGGGCCTTGAGGGGAGTGAAGACAGGCTCGATACCGGAAGCATAGAAGTCACCATGCTCAGCAGTCCAGAGATCGAGCTGGGCTTGCAAGACCTTTTCGGACTTTTGAGAGTTGATGTGAGCCTTCTCGCCCTCTCGGAGGTCGATCTTGAGGTATCGGGCAAGGAGCTCGAGTTGTTGCTTGAAGAGAGCACGCTGGTCCTTAGTAAGAGCATCAATAGCAGCAGGGTCCATCATCATGCCACCGCTAGCACCACCGGCGGGGCCAGCAGCGGCAGCTGTAGACAGGCTGATACCAGCATTTGTGGCATACTTGTTGGCAACGCTGTCGAAGAAGCCCTTGGCATCACCCTCAGAGCCCAATCGGGCGGGAGGCTCCATTGTGAGAGCGAGGAGCAGAGCACCATCTTGTCGGCCGGGTCCAAGACCCCATCGAGACTCGAGGTATTTTCGGGCCGCTGTGATGTTGAAGCCACCAGGCATCTTTGAGGAGATAAGTCGGGCGATCAAGGACAACGATTGCTTGCCCAGATTGCCATCGAAAGTGGCCTGCATGGAGGCACCAAGCTCATCAAGCGGTGTGTCTTCGGGCTTCTCAGGGGTTGAACCGAATTCTTTGCCTAGATCACCGAGGATCTCGTTCTGGAGGGTGGACTTGCCTAGAAACATCAAACGTTAAAATCTTGTCAATTGGAGGGGTTATCTTGTCCCACTTACCACCGACAAGGTCCTTAATGGCCTTGCTGAGAGGAACCTCGAGAAGAGGCTTCTTGAGCTTTTGCGCAATGAGGGCGCGGACGATGTCAACAGCCTGAACAGGCTCATCGGCAACTTGGGCAACGGGACCGGAGCTAGGGGCAGGAGCAGCGGCAGCGGCGGGAGCAGCAGCTCCGGCCGTAGGAGCCGAGGCAGGAGCATCACTGGAAGAAGCAGCAGCAGGCTCGGGCTCCTCTTCCACGGGATCAACATCGTAGTAGATCTCCTTGGCGTCCTTGTTGTAGCAGAGGATATTTCGCTGAACGGACTTGGCGGCATCGTAAGCCTCGTACTTGGACTTCAGAGTTCGCTTGGCCATGACACCAAGGGTGTCGGCAGGACCGATTTCCACGACTCGCTCAGCGGTCCTCTCGCCGAGGAACACATCCTGGGTCTCAATCCATCTAACGGGAGAAGCAAATTGGTATGCGAGCAACTCAACGAGCAGCGTATGAGCGAGCTCTTGCTCGACTTCGGGACGCATTTTGGCGGTATTAGGTCGTGGGAGGTGAAAGAAAGGGTATCTCGAAAAAGGCCGAATTGGCAATCGCAACCTAGAATTGGTGCGAGAGGATGGTCGAATTGACGGTGATTATACCGGGGGCCCGCTTAACCCCAACGTAAAAGAATATGGAACCGTCGCAAGAAACTCCTAAGCTAAAGAGTGCAGCTGGCGGGGAGGTAGGAAAGAAGATGAAGGAGGGGAGGATGGAGAGGATGGAGGAGGATGATGGAGGCAGAAGAAAGTGGCCGGAAAGTCTATGAATATGAAGGCCTAGATTGTAAATCCGTTCTGCCTACCAGCAAGAAACAATGGGAAGGATTAGAGGAGAGGCGGAGCTAGATTCCAACCAGACGTGCGGATGGCCCGTACGAATAGGTAACAACGACTGTAGCCGACGACGAGGGAGGAGTCGATTGTTGAACAACCGGCCCACCAAAAAGTTCATCGATTGAAAAAAAATTGGGGGAGGCTCTAGGCCACACCCCGGTCTGTTGTCTCCTGGGCTGTCCCCCCTCCACCAGGCGGGCAATTGACACCTTGTAGAGTACTTGTTGTAGGGGCAGCTCTCGGTACATCGAGTACCCTGTCAGGGCGCCCTGTACGCTCGCTCCCGCTGTAGCACGGTTGAGTATCCGGTACTTTCTCCTGGGTGGAACATCCCCGAGCTACACATGGCTGCGGGTCCTTGGCGTGCAGCCCGCTTCTCAACCATATTGAAGAGCTATTCCTACCTAGGTTTAGTGTCTATGTGTAGGCGTGCACAAGCCAGGGGCGTCCAGGGGAGCGCCTTCCCCAGAAACCAGCCTTTTGGGGCACCATCAACATGTTTGAATGAGGTGAGTTTGGTTGTTTTGGTGGTTATCAGTATTTACAATCGATTATCCAAAGATAGTTCGGCCGAGCGGGCTCTCTTGCTTCTGCATGCTCGGTCTTGACATCTACTGGTCAGCGATTGGGTTTTCGGCGTCATGTCAATACCAAAGAAGTAAGGTGACGACACCTAAGCCATACCACCAGCAATCCAAAGGGTCCAAGGGTTGTGGTACATACAGAGTCGATGGTCTTCGCTCACCAGTCAGAACACCTATGAATAAGCTAAACGGGGTGCAAGCGTAGAGGCACAGTAAAATGGATCATGACAGTAGGCAAGGGAGGCCAAAAAGCGGTGCCATCTATTTGGTCAATGCAATTTCGCGTCTTGCTCAACTACCACCCGATATGATCAACTCGGTTAGGTACCGATACATACATACAATAATTCATGGTGAAATGTTGTTTACTCGCTTATCCGTCGGTTTCCGGAACTCCGAGCTTCTCATGATTGCTACAAACTGTAGATGTGTTGAGCTACCTGTCATTCCATATTTGCTATCTGTCTAAGCCATGGTTGAGTATTAGAGTTATGTGGTTGAATCCAACGGCCGTTGTATAAGCTGCTGTGAGGTTAGTTTTGCGGCTCTTATCTGCGCATAGCCACAACCGTTGGTGCATGCAAAAGCGAAACGAGATCTACAAGACGCCATGCCGCGTACGGATAAGGGTCGCGCAATTAAATAGCATTAATGAGAGATATCTTGGTGGTACATCACAGAGTTTAAGAGGCTCATGTTCGGTCAGTTCAGTTTATCAAGAAACTCACCGAAACAGCCTCAGGGCTTCGCAGTTACTATACCACCATGTATGTACAGTGCTTTACGCGTAAGATACGTGGATAGAAGCGATCATTATAGCTCGACCCCACCGGGCTCGGGAAGTCGATGCTGGACGGAGAATGTGGGGGGTCGAATCATTGTTGGAATGAGAAGTTGGGGACATGAGTGAGGCGTTGACGAGGCGGTGGAGAGGGGCATAAATTTTCTCATCATGACATTGATAGACTTATGATGGTATGATCAGTTCAGAAAGAAGCAATTGGTGATGCAAACTTGATGGCAATTCACTTCCTGGTTGTTATTGTGTCTTCTCGACTACTGGGAAACTCTGGCAGCTTAGGTGGAATATGTTGCAATTCGAAAACGGTGTTTGATGAGAAAGAAAGTGGACGTTGATGCTTGTCTTTCATGGGTAGTGGGGTGGGGTACGGGAGGCCCACGAAACTTCCGAGCTGAACACTTGTACAGTACTTCTTCATTTGTTTATACCATACTCGACAATCAGGAGTTCAGACGAAAATAGCACTGCGCTCTTAGGCCATATATCCACCGAGACTGATCTAATATTTTTATCAACCGCTAAATCAGTACCGGTTTTTTGCAACCCACCTGACAGTACATCAGAACGGCTTGAAAAGTAGTCGCCGAGTACAGAACCCAGAATTGTATGTATCTCTAAAAATTGATCGAAAGATATTGTTCGAGGCTGCTAGTGCCAAATGTTGCTTGCCACTTCGCTAGTCATGGAAGGATTCTATCAGTTCTCAATGGTCACCGTGAAGGTAAAAATTTCGGTCAATACCGCTAGTAGAGATTGAGGCTCGCCATCTACCCGGGAGAAGGGCGAAGAAGTGCCACGATGAAACCTTGACTTAACCGAATTGCCGAACTATTCAAGCAGAAAGAGATTCAAAAACGTATGACGAGATGTCTTGCAGAAGACTGTCAATTCAGAATTGCTGAGGGATTATGATGACGACGTTATCATGCGATGGCTGATGGTAAATATGTCGGGGATAGATAGGGACTTACTGAGAAGGATTGAATTGAGTTGAATGCAACCTACAAAAAGCTTGTGGCAACAAAACAGACCCAACCCATATCTGGATCCAAACCAAAACGACGAGAGCAAACTATTGGTCTGTGGGAGGAATCGCGTGTTCCGAAACGGACGAATCGACATCTCATCAAAAACCAGCAGCCTCACAGGCACCCTAAGCCAGCAGAATGACCCACGGTGACTTCAAGTATATTGTTCCAGCCCTCCAGAGCCCTTGAAGAACAGTGGCTGAGATCCCATTGCAACCACCTACGTCCGAAGTCTTCCGGTAATACAGTTTGAGGTTTAAGCGATGGCAGCATTCTTGTTCAGAACGGTGTAGTATGGCGTCGAGGTACCGGTACTTTGGAGAGGACCCTTCCCCTTCGTTGACCTTCCTCTCAACCCAACCCCTGCTAATGATGGTCCCCTTGTCCCTCTTTGGTAAAGAGCATCATGCAGCAAGGGGTGTCTAATGTCGTGGGGTCCCAGCGGATCAAGCGAGCCTCCAATGCGGTATGCCAATGGAATGGCTCTCTCATGGTCTCACAACGGCGGGAGGTGGATTCGTTTCTTCTTCCTCGAAGTCCATCCATTGAGCTTTGCACTAATAAGATAGCCCGGATTGTGGAGGGGAAAGCAAAAAAGCTGCCCGCCTGTTGGTACAGTGGTGGTAGGAAAAAAG